GTTCTGCGACGTGCATCGGTTCGCCCGGCTTGCGTTGCGCGTGTCTCTGAGTCAGCCTCCGGGTCTGATGATGTGCGGCCAGAGCCTAAGCGTTCCCGGCGTTCGTCTTCAGCGTGGGCTGACGTTGGCGATTTCGACGCTTGTGGATCTGCCGGCGACGGAAGGGTGGCTCCGGTTGCGTTGCATACTACGGTGACGGCGGAGGTGCATTTGCCTGAGGATGCCAGTGCTGGTGTTTCGGCCTCCACTTCAGATATGGTGTCTGCGGTTCCTGCTTCGGGTGCGTCGCCTGCCTCGGATGGCTCCGGTTCTTCGTGGGGGGTGTTTCCCCCTGCTGAGGTTCGCGGTGAGCGGGGTGGCCTGGTGATGCTGTTGAAAAAGACTGCTCGCTCTGGAGGTTCTGTAACCCCTTCCTCGGTCCCCGTTTCATCGGCTGTGGTCTCGACGCCTATTCCGTCTCCGGCCATCTCTTCAGTGTCTCCTGCGGTCTCGGTGGAGGCGTTACCATCTCGTCGATTGTCCCCTGCTCCTGTGCGTACGGCGACGCGGCCGTCTCGGCAGCCCTCGTACGCTTCATCGGTGTCGTCTGCTACCTCGAAGGACGTGGCTTGCGCTCCCCAGCCTCGTTATGCGACTTGCGTCGGTGAGCTTCAGGAGTGGCCGTTTCCGCCTGATCTGGAGGTTCCCGAGTTTATGCTGGGCCCACGGCGGCAGGGGGATCGTCCCCCCACCGACATGGAGTATTTGATTTGGGAGGCCTATAAGCGGAGGTATCCTTGGGATTCGTTCCCTGAGAAATATATTCCTGTCTCTGAGAAATGTATTCCTCGCTTATGATTCCTTTGTGTATTGTGTGTTGTTTCCATTTGTGTGCATGGTTGTGGGTGCGGGTCGGGTGTGTGTGTGTGTGTGTGTGTGTGTGTGGGTGGGGCGGGTTTGTTTTCCGGTTCCTGCGTGCTCCGGTTTGTGGTTGTGGGTTTGTGTGGCTTGTGTGTGTGTGTGTGTGTGTCCGGTTCCTGTGCGGTCCGGGGTTTGGTTGGTGTGTGTGTCTGGTTGTGGACGTCGTGTTCTTATGTTATGCTTTGTGGTTCTATGTTTTTATGATGGTGTTTGTGCGCTTGTTTGTGTGGTGTTGAGTGCCCTTCAGGCTGTTGGCGTGACCCGGTCTGGGTTTATGTTTTTTGACGTGTTTTGCCATTGTGATTTTCTTTCTGTTTGCTGTATATTTGTTTTCCCTTCTTGTTGTTATTTTTATTTTTATTATTATTATTATTATTATTATTATTATTATTATTATTATTAATATTTTCGTTTTGTGTTGGTGCCTCTCCGTGTGTGTTTGTGGTGCTGGTGGACTTGTTCTGAATATTTCATGTTTTGGTGTGTTATTTCTGTATTGTATTCCGCTGTGTTTTAACTTGATTGTTGTATTTTGTTTGTAATTATTGTTGTTTTGTGGTCGGCCCTTCCAGCCGGCGTCTTTGTGTTTAGTACATTTGTTCCTTTATGTTTTTGCACGTTTGTGCTTTGTTATTTTGGTCTGTTCTATGTTGTTATTGTTTACTTTTATTGTACATATAAGCATGCTTGCATGTAAAAAAAAAAAATGTATATACAGATGAAAGAGTACAGCATTTCTTTCCACCCTGGCAGATAGTACCTTTTGACATCCTGACCCCCTGCATACCCCACCAAGAAACTAATCACAAACAACCCTCATGCTCAGCTTGCTGCTAAATTAAGCACCATAGAACACATTCACAATATACAAACTGAAAACAACATGACACAGACCATATACACTCACGGATCACTCAATACACCTACAGGAAGGGCAGGAAGTTCTGTTATTGCTCATCAGCCACCATGGGAGCACAAGTGAAAAGAATACAAGAGTAACTGGCCCTCCACCTTGCAAGTTGAACTGGTAGCACTCAAAATTATTGACAACACTGAAGTAGACAGCGTAATTATTTCTGACTCCCTTGCCTCCCTTACTCCCCTGACTCCGGGTTCGATCCCCGGTGAAGGCGGAGACAAATGGGCAAAAAATTTTCTTTCACGCTGATGCCCCTGTTACCTAGCAGTAAATAGGTACCTGGGAGTTAGCTGCTACAGGCTGCTTCCTGGGGGTGTGGAACAAAAAGGAGACCTCGTCGAGGACCGGGCCGCGGGGACGCTAAGCCCCGAAATCATCTCAAGATAACCTCAAGATACCTCACAACTAGTATTAAATAGTTTAGAATCAAGTAATAACGTGCTTGTCTCCGAAGCGAGATATAGAAATATGCGCATACTTAATAAGGGAATAAACATCAAAATGTTGTGGATTCCTTCTCACATGCCTGTAGGAACATAATAAAGTTGACGCCCTTGCTCAGGTTGCAGTAAATAAAGAAAATGTTTAAGGGAATCTTGAGTTATCAAATAGGTCCCTTAGAAGTGACATTAGACGAGAACTCCTGGATGAATTTGAAGAACGCAGAACAGCGCAAAACTGGAACTAGCAGGTCCATTATTTATCACAATGAAATGTGTCAAGTAAAACATGTGTATATTTAATTAGCAGACTAACAGAGGTCGTCACAGCTCGAATAAGACTTGGTTACAGGTATCTCTGGCAATTCGGCTTGTATAAGAATCTACATGAAGTAAAGTGTAGAGTTTGTGGACAGAGACAAGGATATACACTAGAGAATACATCTTAGAATGTGATAAAATTGAGCCATTTAGAGATAAGTCTAAACTCGTGGCAATAGAATGAAAATGAGTAAGCCATTTTATTACCAAGAATAAAATATATGAAATTCTTGCAGTGTATCCCTATTTCGCTACCAGTAGATCAATTACATGAGATGAAGAAGCAAGTATTGTATTGTGACGACTAATAACAAACTAGGATTCGCCGGTTGACCGCCAGAGGGTGCGGACGTCCTCCATGTCTTGTTCCGTAGTTACCGGTCGAGGCACGTCTTCAGTGGCAGGGTGCCTGGTGCCCGTGCCCTGTGCATTCACCTACCTAGTTGTTTTTTGCGAGGGTCCAGCTCTGCTCTTTCGGCCCGCTTCTCAACTGTCAATCAATCAACTGTTACTAACTACTAACTAATTATTTTTTTCCCAACACACACACACACACACACACACACACACACACACACACACACACACACACACACACACACACACACACACACACACACACACACACACACACACCCAGGAAGCAGCTCCGTAACAGCTGTCTAACTCCCAGGTACCTTTTTACTGCTAGGTAACAGGAGCATGAGGGTGAAAGAAACTTTGCCCATTTGTTTCTGCCTGGTCCAGAAATCGAACCCGGGCCACAGAATTACGAGTCCTGTGTGCTGTCCGCTCAGCTACCAGACCCCATATGTGGCACCCTGGTGGTGCAAGGTACTGTTGCTGCAGGATGGGGGTCGTCCATACCGCCTCTCAAACGATTGTCGTCGGTTGGCCTGCTGACTATACTGGCCTTGGCATTGCTCTAATGGAAGTGCTCGGTGTGAAGTTGACGGACCAGGGGCCAGATTTACGATGCAGTTACGCAAGTACTTACGAACCTGTATATCTTTTCTCAATCTTTGGCGGCTTTGTTTACAATTATTAAACAGTTAATGAGCTCCAAAGCACCAGGAGGCTGTTTATAACAACTACAACTGTTGATTGGGAAGTTTTCACGCTTGTAAGCTGTTTAATAAACGTAACCAAAGGTGTCAAAGATTGAGGAAAGATGTACACGTTCGTAAGTACTTGCGTAACTGTTTCGTGAATCTGGCCCCTGGTGGGGGTGTAAGCTTCTTCAGGACCGCCGTGCGGTGGTGAAGTTTATCCACCCTGAGGAGTTCCGGCCGTTTCTTGAGAGATGTGATGAGGGATGCTCGTTCCCTATGTCCGATGGTGCTAGTACGGGTCGTTAACCTGAGTGTGAAGTTGACATACGTGGTGGTGCCCCTTATGGAGGATGGACTGTTAACCAGGCTGTTTGGTAAGGTGTTGAACATGAGGTGGAACAGGGTGCCCACCGGTTATTGCAAGGGGATGCTTGCTGGCATCTGGACGTTGACAATGTCACTGACGCGGAGTGTACCGTTGTCATTGTCCGTGTGTGTGTTTACGCTTCGTTGGATGTATTCAGCGCAGCCCAGGACCTGTTATCGGTGTGGTCAACGAGGTCATCCAGCGGCAGCTTGCGATGCCGCTGGATGACACAGACACACACTAGACACACTATTCACCCGAGCCGCAACTCGGGTGAATATCTTCAGGGAGGGTGATGTCCCGCCCCTGCCTTCCCAGGAGGACTCTCCGGACGTGTTGGCTGCTGGTGTTGACCCGTCCTGGAAACACAAACACAAACTGTCTCTATTTTCCGCTTGTTACAACTTGTAATAAAGTCATTACATCTTGGCTTAACGTGTTTAAGACGTATTAGAACGTTGTTACAACTTGCTATATTGGTTGTTATAACTAGTTAGGAGGTGTTAAAACTTGTTCGAACGTTGTACCAACGTCGTAGTTTCGGCGTGTGTTTGGCGGGTGCGCGCCTGTAGGCTTAAAGGATGAGTATGGGGGTGCACAGTAAACTAGCCGTCTTCAGCAGCAACAATTATCTTGGAAGAAGCGAGACTATCACACTGCCGTCCAGTCAAGTCATGAAGGAGACAGATTTTATTACAATATGCTTGAAAACACACAGCATTGACAATTTATAGATGATAACACAAAGTTAAGAGAAGATTGATATAATCAAAAGAAAACGTTATTGGGTAGAACACGAAAAGTTCACTAGAGGAACATGTTCTTGAAAACTGTTCGGCGTTCGCTTTGTTCCACTGTTCATCACGAGCAGCAAGGATATTGAGAAGGTGATAATTATCCAAATATTTATTAAAGTAATACACTAAAATATTTTATAAAATAAACAAAGATGAGCGTTTTTCCTAATACTCATGTTTACACCAACCAATGTGGTCGTTGGTTCATGCGTGGACTGGTCGCTGGTGATGTTTGTGCGTTGACTGGTCGCTGGCGGTGTTTGTGCGTTGACTGGTCGCTGGCGGTGTTTGTGCGTTGACTGGTCGCTGGCGGTGTTTGTGCGTTGACTGGTCGCTGGCGGTGTTTGTGCGTGAACTGGTCGCTGGCGGTGTTTGTGCGTTGACTGGTCGCTGGCGGTGTTTGTGCGTTGACTGGTCGCTGGCGGTGTTTGTGCGTGGACTGGTCGCTGGCGGTGTTTGTGCGTTAACTGGTCGCTGGCGGTGTTTGTGCGTTGAATGGTCGCTGGCGGTGTTTGTGCATTGACTGGTCGCTGGCGGTGTTTGTGCGTGGACTGGTCGCTGGCGGTGTTTGTGCGTTGACTGGTCGCTGGCGGTGTTTATGCGTGGACTGGTCGCTGGCGGTGTTTGTGCGTGGACTGGTCGCTGGCGGTGTTTGTGCGTTGACTGGTCGCTGGCGGTGTTTGTGCGTGGACTGGTCGCTGGCGGTGTTTGTGCGTTGACTGGTCGCTCGTCGACGATGTTCGCTTGTTCGTCTTCATATGAAAATTTGTGTTTGAATGGTGTTGACACCGCGGGAACAGTTGTCATTAGTGCTTTACATTTTACACCTGTTAACCACATGTGATTAGTGGTCGATGCAGCAGGTGGTGATGGTGGTTGATGGATGAGGTGATGATGCTGGAAGTGGTTGGATGAGGTGATGGTGGTTGATAGATGAAATGATGCTAGAAGTGTTTGGATGAAGTGATGCTGGAAGTGTTTGGATGAGGTGATGCTGGAAGTGTTTGGATGAAGTGATGCTGGAAGTGTTTGGATGAGGTGATGCTGGAAGTGTTTGGATGAAGTGATGCTGGAAGTGTTTGGATGAGGTGATGCTGGAAGTGTTTGGATGAAGTGATGCTGGAAGTGTTTGGATGAGGTGATGCTGGAAGTGTTTGGATGAGGTGACGGTGGGAGTGGATGCTGGCGGGGAAGCATTATGCACAGCTGGTTATCTGCTTGTACTTGAGACTGAAGCCGCGGTTCCACCTGTCAAGGGCCTCGTTGTCGTCCGTCTTCACGTACAGGACGAAGGGCTGGGACGTGGCTGGGGACGAAGGGGAGGGAATGATCATTAGAACACAAATGAGTAATTATGAACGCATTTGATTACGCTAATTGACGCTGGACAAATTCGTAATAATCATAATACTGTAGACGAAGCCATAATTGGTCGCATACGCCGGGATAATCAATATAAGTGGAAATAATCAATAATTTTTCTATAAATTCTGAAAATATATGAAACAGATATGGCGCTAGAGTTGATACTTCTATTTACAATCACGTACAAAAATATAGATATATACTGGGTGTTAGTCAGCTGTCACGGGCTGCTTCCTGGGGGTGGAGGCCTGGTCGAGGACCGGGCCGCGGGGACACTAAAAAGCCCCGAAATCATCTCAAGATAACCTCAAGAAGATACTCTATATTACAGTCTATAACTAAGAACAACTAAGGGTAACATATACAATAACTAGTAATACTAGAAGCTGTACGACCTCAGTAATGTAGTTTAAACGGTTATGGTTAGTGAGGATATTGGTCACGAAGTATGGAGAGTGTGAGGTCAAAGGTCGAGATACAATTCAAAGATAATTCAATTAAATGTCGTTATCCGACTCTGACGCTGAAGTTAATTTCGATTGGAGGATTAGTATGAAAATTCGTACCTAACGAGAGTGCTATAATAATTGGCATTATCTGAAGGTATTCTTAGAATTTTACTGAGCCAGGGTACTTTGTGTAGAAGATGAGTCATTAACGTGACCATAATGGTCCGGGACAGACCGAAACGTCATCGTTGCTTCGTTTTCTGATGTGTGGCTTGGACATTAGGATACTATGTAACTGGTACCTTGCCAGGGTGCTGGTACCTTGCCAGGGTGCTGGTACCTTGCCAGGGTGCTGGTACCTTGCAAGGGTGCTGGTACCTTGCCAGGGTGCTGGTACCTTGCCAGGGTGCTGGTACCTTGCCAGGGTGCTGGTACCTTGCCAGGGTGCTGGTACCTTGCCAGGGTGCTGGTACCTTGCCTGGGTGCTGGTACCTTGCCTAGGTGCTGGTACCTTGCCTGGGTGCTGGTACCTTGCCAGGGTGCTGGTACCTTGCCTGGGTGCTGGTACCTTGCCTGGGTGCTGGTACCTTGCCTGGGTGCTGGTACCTTGCCTGGGTGCTGGTACCTTGCCTGGGTGCTGGTACCTTGCCTGGGTGCTGGTACCTTGCCTGGGTGCTGGTACCTTGCCTGGGTGCTGGTACCTTGCCTGGGTGCTGGTACCTTGCCTGGGTGCTGGTACCTTGCCTGGGTGCTGGTACCTTGCCAGGGTGCTGGTACCTTGCCTGGGTGCTGGTACCTTGCCTGGGTGCTGGTACCTTGCCTGGGTGCTGGTACCTTGCCTGGGTGCTGGTACCTTGCCTGGGTGCTGGTACCTTGCCTAGGTGCTGGTACCTCAACCCGTCCTCGACTCAAGTCCATTACATCCAGCGGTCGACTCCACAGACGCATTCATAAATGTTTATATGCTGCTCATTAAAAACAGGAATGTTCTCAAATATAAATTAATCTAAGTAAATAAAAATGGAAATGTTCGTTTGTTCAAAATCGCCAATCTCCTAAAGTTCTTCACCGATTGCATTTAAATTTTCACACAACGTTTCATTTGCATCCGAGCAGGTTTTTATATACATATTATATAGATATCACGTCTGTGACGGGAAAAAAAAACATGCTGTTTTTTAAAAAATGCGTTTTTCGTGTGATTTTCATGTGAGGGAAATCTTTGAAACCTCTTTACCAATTACTTTGAAATTTTGACACAATGTTGCATTCGAATAGGCGCGTGTTTTTATATACCTACTATATACATGGCTCACCTGTGACAGGATAAACATGTTTTTTTTTTTAAACAACGCCATCTGTTGCACGTAAGAGAAACACACACTGTAATCTCCGAAAGTTCTTCACCGATTGCTTTGAAATTTTGACACAACGTTCCAATCGAATATGCACTTGATTTTAAATACCTACTATATAGATGCAACATTTGTGACAGGTAAAATCATGCTTTAAAAAAAGCGCTATCTGTTGCACGTCAGAGCAACACACGTTATACTAAATATGTTACGATTCCATTTCAATGTTTCCGATCATATTGATAAATTGAATTTTCATAGATTTCGATTTATTTTCATTTTGATGTAATTATTTTGTGAGACAGTGCGTTGGAATTGAGCTGTGTTGTTTACTATACCGTTCATTTCGTGAGTATAGTTCATTTTTTTAATTTTTTTATTGTTTATCGTTTGGTTTTTTAACTGTTCTTATTTTTCAGTGATGGGAACATCAGATCATTTGATGTTCCCATTTTCTGATGGGACCATCAGATCATTTGGGAATGCATTGGACGAGGGAGTGGGGAATTATGAGGAAGACGAGGGGACGGGGTGGGGGGTGGTGGGGAGGACGAGTCGAGGGGACATGGAAGGGGGTAATGGTAGGGAGGACGAGGGGACGGGGGGAGATGGAGATGAGGGGACGGGGGGAATGGAGAATGGTGAGGAGAACAAGGGGACAGGGGAATGTGGAATGGTGGGGAGGAAGAGGGAACAGGTGAGGGGGGAATCGTAGGAAGGACGAGGGGACAGGGGGAATGGGAGATGGTGGGGAGGACAATGAGATGGTAGATTGGGGAATGGTGGGTAGGACGAGGGGACGGTAGAGTAGGGGATGATGGGGAGGACATGGGGAAGGGGAGAATGGTGGGGAGGACGAGGGGATGGGGGTGTGGGAAATGGTTGGGAGGACAAGGGGATGGGGCAGTGGGGAATAGTTGGGAGGACGAAGGAACAGAGGAGGGGGAATTGTGGAATGAACTGGGGGATAGGGGAAGGTTGCTGTGGCTCAGTAATGCGTGGCTGGGTACAACTAGTATTATAATATATTAGCATATTGTGTATATATAGGCATAGGTTAGGTTAGGTGTTTTGGTTCAGTTGGCGATTATTTGTATTTGTAGCACGTGGGTGAACCATTTACAGCGTTGTGGTTCGAACAAAATTCGTCAGTGAAGCACTTGTTCCGGAAGTGTTCGAACGTCATCAGTTGTGAGTCGTGTGTAAACCGTTTTTCATCCATAAACAGGGGGTTTGACGGGTGCATGGAATCATTTTTGGGTCTTTGTTTGGAGGACGGGCTGTTGTTTGGAGGACGGGCTGGGTACCTTGTGTTGCGTGGATCGCTTAAATACGCTCCTCACCCGACCAGAAAGTCATACTTATCTTGTCGGGGTGCCGGTACCTCCATGTAAATAGTAAAGAAAGTCACCCAGTTTTATATAACGTTTAGAGGGGGGTAAAATGCCAAATATTTGAATTATTTAAGTTTTAAATTCGTTTGGAGGATGTGAGTGCTTGTACAGCAGCAAATATGGCGGTTCGGCGGTGAGGAGACAGCGTTTCCCGCCAAATACTCCTGACGCGGTGACGTGGAGTCTCCTGTTTTTTCGGCAGTCTGATTGGTCTGATGCGGTGGTGTGTCCAGTTTTACCAATCAGAGAGCGCCTATGGCGTGACGTAGTGTGACGTCGGCGCCAGAGCTGGCTGGCGGGAACAGACTCGTTGTCACTAGCCATCTAGGGGAGGAAGGGGCAGGTTGTGTCGAACGTCGTTACCACATAGGTGAGTTTTGAGCCACCTGAAGGAGCATTACGTTAAGCAGTTTTCAAGAGGCAACGTAGAGGAGCTACTGGACAACTTCTAGAGGAAAATTCAGAGAGCTGGAGCGTGACGTCGGTAGTCTTGTGTGACTCTAGAGGCGATGCTAGGGGATCGAGGGTGCTTCCGCAGGCCAGCCAAACTAGGAACGTGCAGGTGACAAATTGTTAATGTCTCAGCAGCATAGCAGCCACGGGGGGAAGCAGCTACTGTGTTACAACACTTTTACAGAGGAGAAGAGGACCAGTATTTAGCGTGGAAGACGGATGAAGGTCTGGGAGACTTTCGCCTGATCCTAGTGAGATCAGGCGATCGATCTACTTCGGTAGAGGTGATCTACCGAAGTTTACCACAGAGAATGAGAAGAGGAGCTCTGCAGGAAACACACGAGAGGTCGCCAGAGGAAGTTTCTGCCAACTGCATTAGGCTGCTACAACTGCAGCCTCTGTTCTTCAATAATAAGGTAGATAAAATTTTCCTCCTCATTTGCCCTTGTTGATGGGAAGTGCATATTATTTATCGTACGCTCGCGGAGTAGTTTACTGTGGCGAGAGAGAGCCCAAATTGTAGACAGTTTCAAAATATGTAAAGTTCGTGTTGCACCATATTGTATTGATCTAGATAAATAGTGTGATTAATGAAAGGACCAAGACAATTATTATATAAGTGAAGTCTTAATAATATTTCTTTCTTGTAAAAGGTTTGGTAAATCAAAGCTTATTGAGTACCACTAATATAACAATTGTGAGGTGTTGCCATAGTGACGTTAAATTTCACCGTGTTGCCATAATGACAGTTGAGATATTTTCGGCCTTAAGCAAATGTAATTCTATTTCTGGTAAATTGTTGATTATTTTTACACTGTTTCACTCCTTTCTTCACCCTCGATATTGTTTGCCTGGGTTTGGTTTGGGAACACTTGAGCACAGTTAAGAAGACATTAGGCTGGGACAGAATATTACCACAGTATAAACAGAAATGATATGGTATCGAAGGGAAAACCTTTGCTAGATTCGCTACCTAGGATATCAACTTTTGTGGCGGGCAAGTCGGCAGCTGGGAGCCCGGGTCTGTGTCCTCGGATACACAGATGGGAGACCCGGGATCGGCCGGATCATCATACTAGCTACGGGGCTGCAAGACTTAGTATGGGACACTTTCCCCCCCCATGAGTGACTCAAATGCTCCCCTAAAGTGGACTTAAGGGGCTGGTACCTTGCCAGGGTAATACAATAACTGATCTGTGTAGTTAGTTACTGTTTCCAGCAAAATGAACAAGTTCGTTAAGGACTGTTTTTGTAAAACTTTAAAATTTCTTCCTTCAGTTTTCTGCTACACTTGTTCTGCCTTCTTAAAAAAACGGGAATGACATCAACACATTCCTAGTCTCGAGGCACATTTCCTTGGCGTTGGAGTTTACTAAGTACGAGCATCAGTGTCATACAGGTCGTCACCTTCCCCCATAATATTTCTGGACTGAATTTCGCCCACTCCCAAGGGCTACGTCGGCGTCCTGTGTCTCCCCCTCGTGGCCGGGTGTTGTATAAACTGTCTGGAGTGAACACTGCTGACTCTTGACTTCCTCAGTACACACTTAAATGTTCTAATCTCTTTGTAAACGTGATCTGATATAGCTCAGTTCTCATATTTCACCTTCATTCATTTTCGCATTTCTGTTCCTCCCTTCTGATCATGGTACTGGTGAGAGAAACTATGGTACAGGTGAGGGAGATTAAGGTACAGGTGAGGGAGATTAAGGTACAAGTGACGAAGGGGTTACTTACTAGTAACGGTGGGAGGGAAGCCGAGGCCGCAGTACCTTCCAGCGGGCGTGGCTTCAGTACTGGTGGAGGAAGTGGTGTACATCCCGCCGGGGATGACCACGTAGTCCGTAGTGCAGTCACTGTCCCGGCTGCTCGTGTAGAAGGTACCTGTACAAGGAGGTTTAGATTAAGACCTGAAGCTCTTTTATGACAAATAACAGCTGTGACAAAGTTTAATCTGGCGAAGTTTCTGAGGCAACTTTGAAGGCTTGCTCTGATACAGAGCTAAAGGAGCCAGTGTAGTAATATATAATTTTATTGTTAACATTGTATGGACAATCAAACCCACGTGTCATTCTTCACTGGCGTGGCTGGTATTTGGAAAAGGAGCCGATGCCTCTTGAAAGGCGGGGCATAGGAGTTGACCCCAATTACAATTGACCATGCAAAGTTGCACGAGACTAGCCCCAGGCGTCGGGCCTCTATCCTCAGACATACTGACAATCTCTGTTATCAGTATGAGAGAGAATGTATCTAAGGCTGGAGGCCACACTCTTGGAGTGAGCCTTATATTAAACTTTGAAGGATTATAATGATGATGATTTTATCGGGAATGTCATAGTGTGTGTGGGGGGGGGGGCTCCCCCTTCTGAAGTGGGGCGTAGCTCCGATGGACATAATTTATTAAGTCTGTATCTACCTACATCACTGTAACCCTCTTAACTACCTACATCACTGTAACCCTCTTAACTACCTACATCACTGTAACCCTCTTAACTACCTACATCACTGTAACCCTCTTAACTACCTACATCCATCCTCACTCTAACCACCTGCGTTGGATTATGTGTTCATCACTATAGTCATCCATCCTACCCGGGTACTCCATGTACGAAATTCATCACCACTTGACACCCTCACCGTACTGTATTCATCACTGTAACCATGTTTACTACACACAACCTTCACCACTACCACCATTTCACTACACCATATCCTAAACACTGTAACCACTGTCACTGTACACTATCTTCATCACTACAACAACACTCCCTGCTCATTATCTTTATTTAAAGATAAATAAATCATATAGAAAATAATATGCTGAATGAATTTTAGTGAGGATGGAACCTGAAATTTAGCAAAGTTGGAAATTGATGTCAAGTAGGGTGGGGGGGGGAAAGGAGGGGGTCGACTTCAACTCCCCCCCCCCCCCCCTATGACCATTCCCCACCAACTGCCAGTCATCATGCAAAGCTTTGTACGACTAGCCTCAAACATCTAGCCCCTCCTATTACATAAAAAAATAATCTCTTTTTATTTTATAAGTATGGATATGAGGGCGGCCTGGTCGACGACCGGGCCGCAGGGAAGCTAAGCCCCATAATCATTTCAAGGTCTCCCAAGGTATAAGGGTGTTAGAGTGTGCTTTACCTATAAGCTCTGGCAAGATTGCATCGGCTGCTGAGGAGATGGTGAAGCCATAGTTGCCATTGTCGTTGACAGGTTCCCAGGTGATGCCGCAGTAGTTGTCAGCGCGCCTGATGCAGATCCCGTAGTCCTGGCTGGCTAGCTGCCGCGTACCTGCTGGGCACCAACCACTCCCATCAGTATCACCCGGATAGTCGCCACTGGATGGCATCGGGTGGTCATTAGAGTGTATTGAACTGGTCACCGGATAGAGCGGTAATGGAGAGGATTCCCTGGAGGAACTTACAAGACACTGAGAGGTAAGCAGGCGTGAAGGGGTTGAGGAGAGCCATACGTGGTGTGTAGGGCTGTGTATGAGGAAGTGGTGTGTTGGGAAATGAGTTAGCTTGCCGGATATGTAATGGGGGGTATGGAGGAGGTAATTGAGTGTGAGGAATGCGTACATCATGGGGGTGTGGGAGAGGGAAGGGGGGTACATCATGGGATTTTGGAGAGGGAAGGTCGTATCATGAGATGTGGGAGAGGGAAGGGGGTACATCATGGGGTTTTGGAGAGGGAAGGTCGTATCATGAGATGTGGAAGAGGGAAGGGGGTATATCATGGGGTTTTGGAGAGGGAAGGTCGTATCATGAGATGTGGGAGAGGGAAGGGGGTACATCATGGGGTTTTGGAGAGGGAAGGTCGTATCATGAGATGTGGGAGAGGGAAGGGGGTACATCATGGGGTTTTGGAGAGGGAAGGTCGTATCATGAGATGTGGGAGAGGGAAGGAGGTACATCATAGGGTGTGGGATAGAGATGGAGTACATCTTTCACTCATCCACGTGGTAGTCTACTGTACCATATTCATGGTAGGTAAGTAGGCAATTATCAGGAGTGAGGGCTAAGCCATTATGACTATATAGCTCTTGGAAGGGACGTTAGGATAAGGGTTTAGGATTGAGCGGAGTAAAGGCATGGTACCCAACCACTTGGACGGTGAGGAACTGAACGCCCATCTACTCTACAGTAGAATACCATGAACATGGGAAATTGGATTACCATGTACACGGAACAGTAGACTACCATGATCACTGGACAGTAGACTACCATGATCACGGATCATTAGATTACCATGAACACAGGACAGTGGACTACAATGAACACGGGACAATAGTATACTGTCCTGTGCTTATGGTAATCTAATATGACCCGTGTTCATGGTAGCCTCTTGTCCCGTGTTCATGGTAGCCTCTTGTCCCGTGTTCATGGTAGTCTTCTGTCCCATGATAATGTTGTGGAAAATATCCGCAGTATAATGTTAAGCATAATCTATATGTGGATAATCTATATGTAGTTTCCCCAATGTAAACTCCCACCCGTCTCAAGGGCTTCTCAAGGTGCCGCCCGTACCAACTCACGCCTGCGATTCCTTAACGCCACTTACAATGGGTTTTAATTGATCCAAAATCAGTAATATTAGTTATAGCTTATCAAATGTACCTTAACTTAGTGCTAAGGTATGTAGTAAAATTAATAAACCTATTAGTGAATAATAATTAAATGAAATCAACACTCCCTCAAACTGTCAGATGAGAAGGCGCCATTAATGGACCAGTCACACGGCTGTTGCTGCCGCGCCGCACGACGCTGGAGCCTACGGTGTTTTATCCCATACTTAGGAACTATTCGCTTTATTTTGATCATACGATCAGTAAGTGTTATTATAGGGACATATCTAACCAATTAAGAAGTACATAATAAGTGTCGTATAGACCTTATTAAGTACTGCAAGCTTCACTAAACTCAGTCCAGGACGCCATATTTTCCCAGCCCTGATCCCAGATATTGTGCTCACCATCTTATAAGGAGAATTGAGTCGACAACTAGATGTTGCCCAGAGCACCCCGGACTTTACTTAACCAGAATTGTTGTGACGGTTTTTATATGGTTAAACTGGCGTCATTTTTAATGATGTCACGTTAACTATTTCTTCCAGAGCTCCGGTTATATAGTGGGGTCTTTACCCCAAAAATAAGCGAGTGGATTTACGGCATTATTCAATTGTCATAATATTTGATGTAAAGTAAATTGATTATAGTTTAGTGTCAGCAAATTAATTTCTCAACCAGAGTTATAACAAAGTTTTAGGCTAAGCTATACACAACTTCTGTTTGGGTGACGCGCGTGGTACGAACTAGTGCCTCGCAGTCTATGATTTAACTTTATATTCGGAAATGTTAATGAGAGGCTTCTCGGCAGGCACACGAGTTAACAGCGTTAGGATACCTACAAACCCAAACCTCCTTCTCAACAGCAGGCCACATGAGCCTCATCAGACCTTATACTACCTTATGTGCTCCTGGGGTTTTCATTCATATTTAAATTAACTAATTATTTAACTAACTAATTAGTTAAATTAACTACAAGGTATGTTCCTAGAGCATTCCTTGTAGTCTGTTGTGTAAGTTCTTTGATTTAATTCCACAGATTAATTAGTACTCAATCAGAATTTCACTTCATTTTAATTTATATTCTGTTTTAAGAATAAGATCGGGGAACAGAGTTGAGAAGAAATCCCCACACTTGGTAATCTGGTCTCCCTTATTCATGGTGATCTACTGTTCCGTGTAGTCCTCTGTTCTGTGTTCATGGTAATCTAATTTCCTGTGTTCATGGTTTTCTAGGGTCCCGTGCTCATAGCAGTCTTGTGTCGTGTTCATGGAAGTCTGTTGCCCTGTGTTCATGGTAGCCTACTATCCCGTGTTCATGGTAGCCTACTATCCCGTGTTCATGGTAGCCTACTATCCCGTGTTCATGGTAGCCTACTATCCCGTGTTCATGGTAGCCTACTATCCCGTGTTCATGGTAGCCTACTATCCCGTGTTCATGGTAGCCTACTATCCCGTGTTCATGGTAGCCTACTATCCCGTGTTCATGGTAGCCTACTATCCCGTGTTCATGGTAGCCTACTATCCCGTGTTCATGGTAGCCTACTATCCCGTGTTCATGGTAGCCTACTATCCCGTGTTCATGGTAGCCTACTATCCCGTGTTCATGGTAGCCTACTATCCCGTGTTCATGGTAGCCTACTATCCCGTGTTCATGGTAGCCTACTATCCCGTGTTCATGGTAGCCTACTATCCCGTGTTCATGGTAGCCTACTATCCCGTGTTCATGGTAGCCTACTATCCCGTGTTCATGGTAGCTTACTGTCCCGTGTTCATGGTAGCCTACTGTCCCGTGTTCATGGTAGCCTACTGTCCCGTGTTCATGGTAGCCTACTGTCCCGTGTTCATGGTAGCCTACTGTCCCGTGTTCATGGTAGCCTACTGTCCCGTGTTCATGGTAGCCTACTGTCCCGTGTTCATGGTAGCCTACTGTCCCGTGTTCATGGTAGCCTACTATCCCGTGTTCATGGTAGCCTACTGTCCCGTGTTCATGGTAGCCTACTGTCCCGTGTTCATGGTAGCCTACTGTCCCGTGTTCATGGTAGCCTACTGTCCCGTGTTCATGGTAGCCTACTGTCCCGTGTTCATGGTAGCCTACTGTCCCGTGTTCATGGTAGCCTACTGTCCCGTGTTCATGGTAGCCTACTGTCCCGTGTTCATGGTAGCCTACTGTCCCGTGTTCATGGTAGCCTACTGTCCCGTGTTCATGGTAGCCTACTATCCCGTGTTCATGCTCGTATACAGTCCCATCTTATGAACTGGAAATATAACATTTCCACCAAAATGTTTACGCACGATCTCAGGTTCAGAGGATTTTTAATATCGTGTTGGATAATTGAGCTCCAGCAACGACTAGTTGTAAGTCCAGTCAAAAGGGAATTTATTAGCCTCATCAGTTCAACTTATCCATTACACAACGGGTCTTGGCCTCATTAACTTCCTAATTGTCTTATCTTCCTTCCTGTATGATACTAGACCACACTTTATGGTCTAGTACCCACCAAAAGGATAGATACTTCTCAGAAATATTGTATCGGTTATCATATGGATATGTGGGCCTGCGGGCCAGAAGTCAAGTCTGGCTTCCGGCCGGGCTTGGGGAGTAGAAGAACTCCCAGAACCCCATCAAGCCGGTCATATTTTTACATAACAATTTTGTAAAACAATTTTTTTTCCTGTATCTTCCCTGACACGTTGCAAGGAAAATGCTAAAGTTCAGACACTAGTACTCACCACTGGGACTAGCAGCGGTGTTGCGGAAGTTGAAGCTGTAGACGGTGCCAGCAGTGGCAGTGTGGTGCTGCAGGCAGCCCTCTGGCGCTGTCGGGCCACACGCAGACACCGTGGGCAAGACAAGGTTATCATATAATAATATGCAAAATGCTCCTTTGAGATGTAAATCGCATGAACATGTGATGAACATGAATATGTAACAAACTTAAAAGTTAGATTTGGTTATATTAAATAAGGGTAGATTAATTTGAGGTTAGGATAAGTTTTGGCTAAGTTAGCTGTGGTGAGATAAAGTTTAGGTTAGATTAGGTTAAGTTAGGTGTTGACTTTAACCCTTAGAGTGCGGTCAAGAACAGGTTAGGTTCACAGTTGGCAAGCATCAGCGAGTGTTTTATCATGTGGGTTACAGCATGTACAGTCAGCTGATGTATGGGTGCTGCCTCTACTGTATGAACGCTCCATGAAAATAATTTAGTTTTCAATTATTATTCCTATGTCGAAAACTATAATTTAGTGTGATAAGTGCGGTGAAATGGGGGGGGGTGAGAAAGGGGGATTGGAAATTGCCAAAATCTAAATTTATCATTTCGCCCCAAAAAAATGACACCTAGAGCTGTTTATGTAAGATTCCCATATTTATAATTGTTACTATAGCTTTACACGAAAACAATACTCTTCTTTTAAATTATAAAAATAATTTGTTCTTTCTGGCTGCCCTGAGGTTAGTCCTACTTTCTCAGCTCACCACAGCTAAAATATCGTATCAAGACTTATTTACGAACTTATCCCCATACTCGCAATAATTTTCACAACCCATCCTCCTTAAATAATAGTACTTATAATAACTATTTCAGCACCAATATGTAGTGACGGTTCACCAGTAAACCACTTTTTGTACTATTACTTTTATGGTGTCCGGAAGAAATAGTTAAAGCTAAACTAAATATTCCTAAGCCTAGTATAGGACATGAATATATACTATATTAGGCCTACGTTCTCGTGTATTAGGCCTAGGATTGCTTGGGGAGGTTAGGTTTAGGTCTTATATTTATGTTGCGGTTAAAAACTTTTCTGGGTTGTCCAAATTCAATAATACAATTGTATCTGGTGGACCATCACTACATATTGGTGCTTTCCACCAAACGATTACTACAAGTATTTTCATTTTAGGAGCATGAACTGAATTTTCCTTATCAATTCGTAAGATAGAATTATTTTTAATGATAATCATTATAATCTTCATTGTCATTATAATCTCTATAGTGAGGATTATAAAGGCTGCAATCTACTTTAGATTTCATTCAGCAAATATATTTTATTCAGAAAAAGAAAAGTTAAGATTAAAGTCAACTTTCATGATATACAGTATATAGATAGAGTAGTTCCTGCCAAACACACACCAAAACTACGACGTTGGTACAACGTTCGAACAAGTTTTAACACATCCTAACCAGTTATAATAACCAATATAGCAAGTTGTAACAACGTTCTAATACGTCATAAACACATTAAGCCAAGATGTAACAACTTTATTACAAGTTGTAACAAGCGGAAAATAGCGACAGTTTAGGTTTGTTTCCAGGGGTTCCTGAAGACTACAGACTTGCATGAGGCTCAAACCAAATCCTTAGTGAGACATTTAACACAAAATAAGTATACATATATGAGGAGCCTCACCTCGGTATACGGAGTCACAGGCGATCTGAGTCACTTGAATGTTCCAGGCAGCTGAGAGCGACGCCTGCACCGAGCGGTTAATGGTCACCTTCACCGCTCCGCCACTGGGATCCACGTCGTAGTAAACTATAATAAAGGTTAGTGACTGTCACATGTTTTACTTGTAGTAATGATCACTTAGTACCAACACTTTGGAAGGTCATATGATTCCATGCGAGGATTTGTTGTTGTCGTATTGATAGATTGGTTTGTATGTCTGTCTTTCATTAATGTTATTTTTCGTGAAAAGTGTGTGATTTTTGCTGGTTGTACTCACCTTGTTTGGTTCAGGGACTCTTGTACACTGAACCTGTTCAATGTACAGGTTCTTAAGCCTATTCAGCTCCGTCATATCTACATCTTATACTGTGTATGGAGTCCACCTCCGCCATTTAATTTTAGATGTATTTTATCTATATAAGGGAAAATAGATCTAAAATTAAACTTTGGCTAGACTCACCAAAGTTTAGAGGATAACTGGGCTTTGGTCAAGGAGTGTGAGGCGGGTCAGGGTCGACCCCAATGCTACTGACCACTGGGACATCTCACTGTGCTGACCACTGGGACATCTACTCACTGTGCTGACCACTGGGACATCTACTCACTGTGCTGACCACTGGGACATCTACTCACTGTGCTGACCACTGGGACATCTACTCACTGTGCTGACCACTGGGACATCTACTCACTGTGCTGACCACTGGGACATCTACTCACTGTGCTGACCACTGGGACATCTACTCACTGTGCTGACCACTGGGACATCTACTCACTGTGCTGACCACTGGGACATCTACTCACTGTGCTGACCACTGGGACATCTACTCACTGTGCTGACCACTGCTGGAGCCACAGATCACTGGGACACTGGACACTCCGCCGGTCACCGTCAGGAAGTCTTTAGTGCAGACACCGTTCGTATCCGGCTGCGAGAGTTCGAGAGCGAGGAAATCGAACCTCATCTGGCAGATGTTGGGCGCGACTCTGTTGATGGTGAGGGTACAGGCGCCCAGCTCTGTGTTGGTGGCGCCGGGGTGGATGAAGTACGTGTTGTTCAGGCTCGTCGCCTCGTTACACGTCCTCGTTACTGGCCAAGGGGGGGGAGGAGGTGGGGAGAAAAGACATTAGTCTTCCCTAGATAGAAGTTAGAGTGGGTGAGAGAGAGTCACAGGGGCAAAAGGAAGTAGGGAAACTTGCAGAAGTTTGTAAGCTTGCAAACTTGCTAGCTAAAGTTAGCATATTTGAAGACATGAAGAAACATTCACTCACACGTAAACACATACAAACGTACATACTTTGCAAAGTCAATTTATTATATTTTCCTTCGTATAAATGGAAGGACTGACATAATACAGTACACCCGAGAGAGTGGGGAATATACTTCAAAGCCTTCGTTACACGACGCCATGAAGAACGCCTTAGACTCGGGCTAGTTGACCAGACCACACACTAGAAGGTGAAGGGACGACGACGTTTCGGTCCGTCCTGGATCATTCTCAAGTCGATTGTCACAGATGTCTCGGGCTAGTCGCTTACTGTAAAACTCTTATTCATAAAAGCGTCATACGTTTATTTATTCACATTTTTCTTATTGCTGAGCACTTATGCACAGAGGGGAAATATCAATTAATTAATTATTTGCTTATAAATGATTCACTGAACACTTAAGAGAAAAAAAATGGGTGAAACTTTTAGTTTTATGTTTAAAAAATGGGACTTTAGACATGCAAATTGCACATGTTGGTCATTAAAAGTTGAGTATATTGTGGCTAGATCAAACACAGCAAGCCCATTACGTAGTTACTAATACATCTTTCTCCTTTAATTAGAAAAACAGCAAGTGTTTAGCACGCGGCTACTCTTTACTTGGTCGCTGGTTCAATCCCCACATTCCTCCAAATGATTTACGCAGTAATACAAATAATAACAATATTATTTACCTAAAGAGGCCTGGCCGAGGACCGGGCCGCGGGGACGTTGAGCCCCGAAATCATCGCAAGGTAAGGACCTGGGGCCATATTCACGTAGCAGTTACACAAGCACTTACGAACCTGCTGACATCTCTTGGTCTGGCTCATTACGTCAAAGTTTGCAGCAAATTACTGAGCTACAGCATATTTTAGCTTTAAGTTTAGGTGTGTATATGTAACTTGATAACAATGCCGAGATTTTATGAGCATTAGAGACAACAGATGTTCACTACACAAGTGCGGTTAAAGTAGCAAGTGCGAAGCGGGATGCGTATAGAGGAGGGTGTCGGGCCGCACGTTTGAGTCGAGCCCCAAAGTTGTCTTGGAAATTACCGATCAGTTAGTGGTGTGTACTTACTTAAGCAGCAGGAAGAAAGTATGCTGGCGCAGGAGCCTTTGGAGAGTCCTCCACTGCTGCTGCACTTTAAGGAGGGCATGCAGGTGCCCAGGGTGAAGTTGTCGGTGGTGGGGCACGGGGTGGCCGGGATCTCCGCCAGGATGACGAACACTGCCACAGTGGAGAACAGTTACACATAGAAACCACAATAGCGTAATAGATCAATGAATAAATCCACAAGGGCCGTGATGAGGGGTTCGAACTTACGTCCATGATGGTTATCTTGAGGTTATCTTGAGATGATTTCGGGGCTTTTTTTAGTGTCTCCGCGGCCCGGTCCTCGACCAGGCCTCCACCCCCAGGAAGCAGCCCGTGACAGCTGACTAACACCCAGTTACCTATTTTACTGCTAGGTAACGGGGGCATAGGGTGAAAGAAACTCTGCCCATTGTTTCTCGCCGGCGCCTGGGATCGAACCCAGGACCACAGGATCACAAGTCCAGCGTGCTGTCCGCTCGGCCGACCGGCTCCCTATGATGATGATCCCAGACGCGCCATAATCGACTGTGCTATGGTATAAAAATTGCAACCGGGAGTGCTACCGCTCTCACATGGATCCCTTATACCTTGCCCTGGCGCAGTCGATTAAGGTGCGTCTGGGATCATCCTAGACGTAAGTTCGACCCCTCATCACGGCCCTTGTGGATTTGTTCATTGGATAAAAGTTGTTTATTGGTTTAAGCAGCCCTCGTTTACACTCATTAGTCTATAAATACGCCTACATTATGCATTTTGTAGGAAGTGGCTGCTATTAGAGTCAACTGGAACACACAACACAGTTCACTTTCAGAAGGCCTAAAATGCTCGCAATTATTCTCTTATCAATTGTCAGTAACAATTAATCTGCAACTTCAGTTACCAGTAACTAGCCATTACTCTGTAACAACAATTGTCAGCAACAAGCCATTACTCACACAAAATGCAAAACTAGGTGAGTACTGTCAGGTAAAGTGGGACTCACGCCGCCACTGTCCGGAATCGACGAGGCTCGTCCCATACTTTTACATTAAAAAAACAAAAATATAAAATCAAAATCAAATCCCTTGAAACACAAACCGAAACTGTCTCTATTTTTCGCTTGTTACATCTTGTAATAAAGCTTTTCATCTTGGCTTAACGTGTTTATGACGTATTAGAACGTTGTTACAACTTGCTATATTGCTTGTTATAACTGGTTAGGTGTTAAAACTTGTTCGAACGTTGTACCCACGTCGTAGTTTCGGTGTGTGTTTGGCGGGAAGACAGGCCAATAATCCCTGGGAGAGGGAGGCGGCTCCCCTTGGCGTAGCCTACTTAAAGTAACTCTCCGATTAAGTCGCAGGAGAAGATCACTGTCCACCTGTTGGTCATTTACTCACACTGCTCCGTCAGCTTCAGTCTCCTAAAGTATGTTGACCAGACCACACACTAGAAGGTGAAGGGACGACGACGTTTCGGTCCGTCCTGGACCATTCTCAAGTCGATTGTGATCGACGGATCGGTCCAGGACGGACCGAAACGTCGTCGTCCTTTCACCTTCTAGTGTGTGGTCTGGTCAACATACTTTAGCCACGTAATTGTGACTCATCGCCTACATTCAGTCTCCTCTATCCATAACACCTATTACTTTATATCTAGACAGTTAATGTTCAGACCACTCTTCCTCATCTTATCTCTAACACAAGGTCGTCAAGACAAGGACAATAATATTCAATAAGATTTTCACAAATTTACTTAGAATATCTTATATATCAATGAAAGTCAATCTGCAACTCTAATCAATACGGTCAATAAACATATCCTAAGTCTGATCCATTCTAGTTAACCTAGTCTCCTAAAATAGTCATAAATTAATCCATTATATCTTACTATGAATTAAAACATAATTTATGAACATTAGTTTTACAATGACTTTCACCAACAATATCCTTCATCTAGATATTTATATTCCACTACAATTTAAAGGCACATATGAATAAATCATCTCAATAATATTATAGACATAAGCATTATAGTATCTGCATATCATAGCCTATCATGGATCAGTTATAGCTTCAGTGCGATATATATATATTGTGACGATAATCTCTTTCAAGAGAGATTGAGCCTGCTCTTCCCTACAAAGTACGTCAATATACAAGATAATATAGAAGATACGTCCAGCAAGTATCGCCAAACGTTTTGCCCAGAGAGCAAATCGTACCCAGCACACAGTGACACCTGCTACCTACCACCGCCGTAACCAGCAAACTGCTCATCCTTTGCCTGCCTGTCGCTGATTGGCTGGTGTCCCGTCGCACCTACCCTCCGCCTCTGCCACAAGTTGACATCTGGGCTGCAGTGCGCTAATATCGTCAGAATATCTCAGTGCTCCAAGCAGTTGACATCTCTCGCTGGTAGACTAAGCCTTGGCTTTCGTGTACTATGGGAGGTGGCAGCTCGAAGCCAATATTCCAGCATCACTAATATTTTATTTTGCTATCACTGTAACTCACTTGTCTTAACGTAACTTTTCATTTGCCAGTGATTATTCATATTATTTTGTTTGTTGACTTGTCTTTCATATTTTATGTGCTTAACTTTATTCATGTCTAGTTTTTCTAAAGTAATTAAAATTTCATTGTTAATTTACTTGTGTTTTGTGTATCTTCCCATTACCTTACCACAGACGAAAGCTCCAGCTTTTCTCTTTTTTTTTCTATTATGTGACGAGGCCCTGCCCCTAGCTTTTGAAACAGCCGAACACCAACGCTTTACCGTCACAATATATATATATATATATATATATATATATATATATATATATATATATATATATATATATATATATATATATGCGAACAAGCCTGAATGGTCCCCAGGACTATATGCGAATGAAAACTCACACCCCAGAAGTGACTCGAACCCATACTCCCAGAAGCAACGCAACTGGTAACTAATCCTTAACTATGGATTAAGGCGCCCTGTAGTTACCAGTTGCGTTGCTTCTGGGAGTATGGGTTCGAGTCACTTCTGAGGTGTGAGTTTTTATTCATATATATATATATATATATATATATATATATATATATATATATATATATATATATATATATATATATATATATATATATATATATATATATGAGCGGCCAGTTTCATGTTCCAGCGCCTCAGTGTCGCTGTTCAGAGGGGAAATGCGTGCTGTATCTTGGGTACGCACCCGACCCCTGAAGAGCTGGACGAGGTCTTCGAACACTGATTGGTATATTGTTATATAAGTGTGTATTTTCTGTAAACTGTAACATTGCAATAAAATCAAATAAAAAAAATATTAGGGGTGGTAGGAGAAGAAAAGATTAAAGTATTCAGTGAGAATCCACAAGGTCTTCTCTGAACACTTATTTATTTTCTTCTTCGAGGATGTGGCTCCCTTTAATTAAACCAGTGGGGGTACCCCTAAATATATATATATATATATATATATATATATATATATATATATATATATATATATATATATATATATATATATATATATATATATATATATATATATATATATATATAAATATAATATATATATATATATATATATATATATATATATATATATATATATATATATATATGTATATATAATAAATATATGTATGTAATGTGTGTATGTGTGTGTGTAAATCACGAAAATTCACACGTGATGAAAAATGTAACAGTGTCAGACCACGGAGGAAGAATTGAAACAGGAATTTCCTTAAGTACTTTTGAATCTTAATACATCTTCAGAAGGAATGAAGATGTATAAGTGAGGCGGGCACTCCTCACCAGGTGTTGGGAACCTGTCCATAACTGGTCTCCGAAAGTGACAGGAGACAGGGAATTAACAGTCAGAAGCTGGTAAACACAACCCACGAGATAAATTACTGAGAGCCACACATAAGGCTTGGTTAAGTAAACAAACAATGCCGGACCTGCCCTGGAACAGGATGTAAGGTTCTTGTTTTCTCTCGTGTTGAAGGACTCGTCTGAGAGCAAACATTGCTGTGGGGGCGTCAACCCCATGGTGGGATGGGCGCTCAGGTGTGAAGGGCCCTGGCCAGCTTGATCCTCTCTTGTCTCTCCCATGGCTCTCCCTCCCACACCAGCCCTCTCCCATCCACACCAAGCAAGTCCTCTTCGCGCCTCCCTGGCTCAAGTCCTCCTCATCACCCTGTCTCAAGTCCTCCTCACTGTACCCAATATAAAGATTACGTCCCCCAACTCACAGTGATGGAAAGCCTTGGAGACAGTAGAGAAGAGAAGACTTGCATACACTGGAGAAACAGGCAGGAGTGGCAGGGGAAGGTGCTGCAGTGGATGAAGGAGCACCTCGGTGACAGGAGACAGTCACAGTGCGCACAGAGACACCAGAGTGGCGTGCCAACCCCCATACACTGCGACAATCAGTAAGCTTACCTTCACTAAGGCACTAAGCAAGCCACAACACACACACCCAGCCTCACATAGTCCTCGGTGCCTCTAAAACTCCAAACATACTGACTGCTCTAACTGGCCTCATTCTCATATATGGATCACTGTTGTCTCCCTGTCCCCGCTACGTAGTCCACCGTCACTCTCTCCTCGTTAGCGTGTACCCTCTGCTCTCCAGACTTCAAGCCTCCAGGCACGAGGCACCGAACCAGCTGAGCAAGCCGTGTTAATAGACGCAAACTCGTATACTGTACTAATAAGAAGCTCCTTGAACTCCCCTAGGAACACGGACCCTGATGTAACAGTATTCACATGACTGTCGTTTCTGATGTGATAACACCAGTCTAGCAGTCCTGCGGAATTAGACTCACTTGGCCAAAATGTCGTTGGAGATTGATATAGATGAATGTGACTCAAGTAGCGCATATTGCTTTTTGTTATTGTATCATTGAAGGTTTGAGAAATAATAGCAACAGGTAGATAGCCAAGTTGAAAGTCTCCTTGAAACGTGAGAAGGCAACAATTCATTGTGAAACATGAGTTGAAATTAATAACAACATTCATGTTGTTATCCATGTTTACAATCGATCTGTTGACGGATAATCTTCTGGACGTGCTGGTAGTGTTTCACTCTTCAAGATTAGTAAATACAAGAAATTTGTTTTAGTACATTAAAATGTTGAAGTGTTGATATTTTGGGGAGTTTTAAGTATTTTAAATTAAAGCTTTTGTAATCAGCGCTCAAAAAATTGCCGTGTTTATGTACATTAATAGAATATTTTATGTATGTATGTTTGTATGTAACCTCAACTATGTAAGCTCACACAAACGGGCTATGATTGAATATAACAGATTTATTATGAGAATAATTATCGATGTTTTCTTTTTCTGAATTTCGTCTTGTTTGGGAATTTTGTTTGTGGGAGATTTACCTTGTCGGGATTATAAGACAAACCCGGAAGCGACGGACCTCACGCCACACAGCCTGGGCGACGGACCTCACACAGAGCCTGGGCGACGGACCTCACGCCACACAGCCTGGACGACGGACCTCACGCCACACAGCCTGGGCGACGGACCTCACGCCACACAGCCTGGGCGACGGACCTCACGCCACACAGCCTGGACGACGGACCTCACGCCACACAGCCTGGGCGACGGACCTCACGCCACACAGCCTGGACGACGGACCTCACGCCACACAGCCTGGGCGACGGACCTCACGCCACACAGCCTGGGCGACGGACCTCACGCGACACAGCCTGGGCGACGGACCTCACGCCACACAGCCTGGACGACGGACCTCACGCCACACAGCCTGGACGACGGACCTCACGCCACACAGCCTGGACGACGGACCTCACGCCTTAGGACATCGCTTCGTCTCTCCTCATCACGGCTGTGTCCTCACGAGTGCCGTCTATCACCTCGCATCTAAATCAACTTAATCCTTTTACTTACGCTTCCCGTCTCTCTCTTCTTGGGTGTCTGATTCTTGGCCTCCTGATCTTAGGGTTCTGTTGTGAATGTGTTGTTGTTCCTTCAACACGGAGGTTAGTGCGCCGCCCGCCACGGTCGCCAGCACCACCATCATCACTACTGCTTCCCTGCTCCTCTTCATCACCTGCTAAGGAATAAATGGCGAAAATATAATTAATTTTGACATTTAAAGCACGCACACACACACACACACACACACACACACACACACACACACACACACACACACACACACACACACACACACACATGTATGTATTAAAAAAGTTGGAGCAACAGGCAGGAGTAAAAGGGAAGGTGCTCCAGTGGATAAGGGAGTACTTAAGCAACAGGAAACTGCGAGTAACGGTGAGGGGGAAGACATCAGAGTGGCGAGATGTCACCAGCGGAGTCCCACAGGGCTCAGTACTTGGACCCATCCTGTTTCTAATATATGTGAACGATCTTCCAGAGGGTATAGACTCATTCCTCTCGATGTTTGCTGATGATGCAAAAATTATGAGAAGAATCAAGACGGATGAAGATAGACAGAGACTACAGGATGACCTGGATAAACTGGAGGAATGGTCTAGAAAATGGCTGCTGAAGTTCAACTCTGGAAAGTGTAAGGTGATGAAATTAGGCGAAGAGAGCAGGAGGCTGAACACAAGGTATCATCTGGGAGGGGAAATCCTGCAAGAATCAAATAGAGAGAAGGATCTGGGGGTTGATATCACACCGAACCTGTCCCCAGAGGCCCACATCAAAAGAATATCATCAGCGGCATATGCTAGACTGGCCAACATAAGAACTGCCTTCAGAAACTTGTGTAAGGAATCTTTCAGAACCCTGTATACCACTTATGTAAGACCAATCCTGGAGTATGCAGCTCCAGCCTGGAGTCCATACCTAGTTAAACACAAGACAAAGTTAGAGAAGATTCAGCGGTATGCCACCAGGCTCGTCCCGGAACTGAGAGGATTGAGCTACGAGGAAAGGCTAAAGGAGCTGAACCTCACATCCCTGGAAAACAGAAGAGTAAGGGGAGACATGATAACCACCTACAAAATTCTCAGGGGAATTGACAGGGTGGACAAAGACAAACTCTTCAGCACGGGTGGGACACGAACAAGGGGACACAGGTGGAAACTTAGTACCCAGATGAGCCACAGAGACGTTAGAAATAATTTTTTCAGTGTCAGAGTAGTTAATAAATGGAATGCACTAGGAAGTGATGTGGTGGAGGCTGACTCCATACACAGTTTCAAATGTAGGTATGATAGAGCCCAGTAGGCTCAGGAATCTGTACACCAGTTGATTGACAGTTGAGAGGCGGGACCAAAGAGCCAAAGCTCAACCCCCGCAAGCACAATTAGGTGAGTACAATTAGGTGAGTACACAGGAGTGTGTATACAGAATAGGAGATGTAGTACTCAATGAAACGAACAGAGAGAAAGATCTAGGAGTTGATATCACACCAAACCTGTCTCCTGAAGCCCACATAAAAAGAATAACATCTGCGGCATATGCGAGCCTGGCTAACATCAGAACAGCGTTCAGGAACCTGTGTAAGGAATCATTCAGAATCTTGTACACCACATATGTAAGACCAATCCTGGAGTATGCGGCCCCAGCATGGAGCCCGCACCTTGTCAAGCACAAAATGAAGCTGGAAAAAGTCCAAAGGTATGCCACTAGACTAGTCCCAGAACTAAGAGGCATGAGTTACGAGGAAAGGCTGCGGGAAATGCACCTTACGACACTGGAAGACAGAAGAGTAAGAGGAGACATGATCACAACCTACAAAATCCTCAGAGGAATCGACCGGGTAAACAAGGATAAACTATTCAACACTGGTGGGACGCGAACAAGGGGACACAGGTGGAAACTGAGTACCCACATGAGCCACAGAGACGGTTAGAAGGAACTTTTTCAGTGTCAAAGTAGTTAACGGATGGAATGCATTAGGCAGTGATGTGGTGGAGGCTGACTCCATACACAGTTTCAAGTGTAGATATGATAGAGCCCAGTAGGCTCAGGAATTTGTACACCAGTTGATTGACAGTTGAGAGGCGGGACCAAAGAGCCAAAGCTCAACCCCCGCAAGCACAAATAGGTGAGTAGAAATAGGTGAGTACACACACACACACACACACACACACACACACACACACACACACACACACACACACACACACACACACACACACACATACACAGTCGAGAGTTGCCATGGGTGACGTTCTAAAAAATGGCACTTTTTCTGCCCGCCAGGCGAAGAAAAGACACTTTTCTCTCATGCTTGGTGAGGGAAAGACACGCTACTCTCACCCTAGGTCTGTGGCACTCCTCCGTCACCCTAGGTCTGTGGCACTCCTCCGTCACGCTAGGTCTGTGGCACTCCTCCGTCACGCTAGGTCTGTGGCACACCTTCGTCACGCTAGGTCAGTGGCACACTTCCGTCACGCTAGGTCTGTGGCACTCCTCCGTCACGCTAGGTCTGTGGCACACCTTCGTCACGCTAGGTCAGTGGCACACTTCCGTCACGCTAGGTCTGTGGCACTCCGTCACGCTAGGTCTGTGGTACTCCTCCGTCACGCTAGGTCTGTGGCACTCCTCCGTCACGCTAGATCTGTGGCACTCCTCCGTCACGCTAGGTCTGTGGCACTCCTCCGTCACGCTAGGTCAGTGGCACTCCTCCGTCACGCTAGGTCTGTGGCACTCCTCCGTCACGCTAGGTCTGTGGCACTCCTCCGTCACGCTAGGTCTGTGGCACTCCGTCACGCTAGGTCTGTGGTACTCCTCCGTCACGCTAGGTCTGTGGCACTCCTCCGTCACGCTAGATCTGTGGCACTCCGTCACGCTAGGTCAGTGGCACTCCTCCGTCACGCTAGGTCTGTGGCACTCCTCCGTCACGCTAGGTCAGTGGCACTCCTCCGTCACGCTAGGTCTGTGGCACTCCTCCGTCACGCTAGGTCTGTGGCACTCCTCCGTCACGCTAGGTCTGTGACACTCCTCCGTCACGCTAGGTCTGTGGCACTCCTCCGTCACGCTAGGTCTGTGGCACTCCTCCGTCACGCTAGGTCTGTGACACTCCTCCGTCACGCTAGGTCTGTGGCACTCCTCCGTCACGCTAGGTCTGTGGCCCTCCTCCGTCACGCTAGGTCTGTGACACTCCTCCGTCACGCTAGGTCTGTGGCACTCCTCCGTCACGTTAGGTCTGTGGCACTCCTCCGTCACGCTAGGTCTGTGGCACTCCTCCGTCACGCTAGGTCTGTGACGCTCCTCCGTCACGCTAGGTCAGTGGCACTCCTCCGTCACGCTAGGTCAGTGGCACTCCCTCGTCACGCTAGGTCTGTGGCACTCCTCCATCACGCTAGGTCAGTGGCACTCCTCCATCACGCTAGGTCAGTGGCACTCCCTCGTCACGCTAGGTCTGTGGCACTCCTCCGTCACGCTAGGTCAGTGGCACTCCCTCGTCACGCTAGGTCAGTGGCACTCCTCCGTCACGCTAGGTCTGTGGCACTCCTCCGTCACGCTAGGTCAGTGGCACTCCCTCGTCACGCTAGGTCAGTGGCACTCCCTCGTCACGCTAGGTCAGTGGCACACTAACCTTCATGGGGAGAGTCCTGGGGGAGGTGTACACTTCACTAAGGCAGGTCTTACCTTCATGGGGAGAGTCCTGGGGGAGGTGTACACTTCACTAAGGCAGGTCTTACCTTCATGGGGAGAGTCTTGGGGAGGTGTACACTTCACTAAGGCAGGTCTTACCTTCATGGGCAGAGTCCTGGGGGAGGTGTACACTTCACTAAGGCAGGTCTTACCTTCATGAGGAGAGTCCTGGGGGAGGTGTTCACTTCACTAAGGCAGGTCTTACCTTCATGGGCAGAGTCCTGGGGGAGGTGTACACTTCACTAAGGCAGGTCTTACCTTCATGGGCAGAGTCCTGGGGGAGGTGTACACTTCACTAAGGCAGGTCTTACCTTCATGGGGAGAGTCCTGGGGGAGGTGTTCACTTCACTAAGGCAGGTCTTACCTTCATGGGCAGAGTCCTGGGGGAGGTGTACACTTCACTAAGGCAGGTCTTACCTTCATGGGGAGAGTCCTGGGGGAGGTGTACACTTCACTAAGGCAGGTCTTACCTTCTTGGGGAGAGTCTTGGGGGAGGTGTACACTTCACTAAGGCAGGTCTTACCTTCATGGGCAGAGTCCTGGGGGAGGTGTACACTTCACTAAGGCAGGTCTTACCTTCATGGGGAGAGTCCTGGGGGAGGTGTACACTTCACTAAGGCAGGTCTTACCTTCATGGGGAGAGTCCTGGGGGAGGTGTACACTTCACTAAGGCAGGTCTTACCTTCATGGGGAGAGTCCTGGGGGAGGTGTACACTTCACTAAGGCAGGTCTTACCTTCATGGGGAGAGTCCTGGGGGAGGTGTACACTTCACTAAGGCAGGAGTTGGTCTGACGGAGGCGCTACTCAGGTCGGCCTTATATGCTCCAGGTTACACACTGCTCTTCTTAGCTCCCGCCTCCAGCTGTGTATAGAAACCTGCGTGTGTGCGTGTGCGTATGTGCGTGTGCGTGTGTGCGTGTGCGTGTGTGCGTGTGCCTGTCTGTGTTTTAGTGTAAGCGTCGCGTGGGCTCGTGTGCGCGCCTGGGGGCACTGGTAAACAAGAATGATTTCAGTTTTCCTCAAGCTGGAAGACCTCGGGCACTGGAGGCTGCCTAAACAAAGACCTTGCACTCTGTGCCCATTAACGCTGTTCCATGTAGTGCTCCTGGGTGCTCCTGGGTGTTCCTGGGTGCTCCTGGGTGCTCCTGGGTGCTCCTGGGTGCTCCTGAGTGCACAGGGTGCTGTGGTGTTGGGCTGGTCGGGTCATTTGGTTGTTTGGTTGCTAAAGGAACTGCCCAGCTGATTGGGGTTTTCCCGGTTGCTTTGGAGGACGGGCCTCAATATTAATGGCATGTATTCTCTAGTATTATTATTTCGTGATCAAAGATGTGCTCGGGTTGGCTGAAATATTACTGTGGTAGTGTGTGGTGCTGTGTACTCACGCAGCTGTGCTTGTGGGGGTTGAGCTCTGGCTCCTTGGTCCCGCCTCTGAACTGTTAATCAACTGATGTACAGATTCCAGAGCCTACTGGGCTTTATCATACCTACACTTGAAGCTGTGTATGGAGTCATTCTCCACCACATCACTGCCTAATGCATTCCACCTGTTAACTACTCTGACACTGAAAAAGTTCTTTCTAACGTCCCTCTGCCTGATTTGGGTACTCAGTCTCCACCTGTGTCCACTTGTGCGTGTACCACCCGTGTTAAATAATCCATCTGTGTCTACCCAGTCAATTCCTCTGAGAATTTTGTATGTGGTGATCATGTCTCCCAGAGCTCTTCTATCTTCCAGCGACGTGAGGTGCGGTTCATGCAGCCTTTCCTCATAACTCATGCCTTTTAGTTATGGGACTCGCCTAGTGGCATACCTCTGAACTTTTCCAGCTTCGTCTTGTGCTTGACAAGGTACGGGCTCCATGCTGGGGCCGCATACTTCAGGATTGGTCTTACATATGTGGTATACAAGGTTCTGAATGATTCCTTACACAGATTTCTGAAGGCAGTTCTGATGTTAGCCAGCCTCGCATTCGCCGCCGATGTTATTCTTTTGATGTGGGCTTCAGGAGACAGGTTTGGCGTGATATCAACTCCTAGATCTTTCTCTCTGTCCGTTTCGTGAAGGACTTCATCTCCCATTCGGTATCCAGTGTCTGGCCTCCTGTTTCCTCCGCCTAGTTTCATTACCTTACTCTGGTTAGACTTTAGTAGCCATTTGTTGGACCTTTACTTCAGTTCGTCTAGGATATCTTGTAGCCTCATACTGTCTTGATCCTCCTCATAATTTTTGCATCATCAGCAAACATTGAGAGGAACCAGTCTATGCCCTCTGGGAGATTATTTACATATAATATTTATACATATTTAACAGAGTAGGTTCAATGACTGAACCCTGAGGAACTCCACTGGTGACGCCTCGCCACTCGGAGACCTCACCCCTCACAGTTACTCGCTGTCTTCTGTTGCTTAGGTACTCCCTTATCAAGTCGAGTACCTTTGCTTTCACTCCTGCCTGCATCTCCAGCTTGTGCACTAGACTTATATGGGGTACTGTGTCAAGGGCTTTCTGGCAGTCTAGAAATATACAGTCTGCCCAGCCCTCTCTATCTTGCCTGATTTTTGTTGCCTGGTCATTGAACTCAATTAATCCTGTGAAGTATGATTTGCCATCCATGAACCCATACTGATGTTGAGTTACAAAGTTGTTTTGCTCCAGATGTTCCACTAGTTTTTTTCGCACAATCTTCTCCATCGTCTTGCATGGTATGCAAGTTAGGGACACTGGCCTGGAGTTTAGTGTTTCCTGTCCATCATCCTTCTTGAATATCGGAACTACATTAGCCGTCTTCCAAATTTTTGCCAATTCACTTGTTACCAATGATTTTTGAACACCCTGGAGAGTGGCAGGCACAGAGCTTCTGCTCCTTCCTTTAGTGTCCATGGTGAGATCCGATACCTCACCAGATTTAGTATCCGGGCCTATAGCCTTTGTCACATCCAACTCTAGCAGATGCTTCCCCACCTCCTCCCTGGTAATCACAAACTCTTCTAGTGGTGTCTGGTTAGATATTCCCTCTCTTATCCCTGAGACTTCTCCCTGCTTTGATGTGAAGACATCCTGGAATTTCTTATTGAGTTCCTCGCACACTTCCTTGTCGTTTGTAGTGAATCTGCGCATAGTAGTGTATGGTGGTGTGTGGTAGTGAATGGTTGTATGTGGTGGTGATAGTTTATAGTTGTCACTTTGTGTGATAGTGTATTTAGGTGTAGTGATAAAGAACAAATGAAAACAGCATCATTTACTACCACAACAACCACCACAACTACTATTACTCCATCTTCTACTACTCTACTGCCACCACCCTTACTACCACTACAATCTGAGGCCGCTAACTTTACCTTTCATCCCATCCACATGTCAAAGGACGCATCACAAAACGACCAATTTGGAAAGATAATCTTGGATAAACGGATACTCTCAGCCTCAGCCCATCACGTCTGATACTGATAGAAACTGTCACGGGAACACATCAATAAAAGGTCATGTCTGTGGGATGTTTTATTGGTGTATAGCTTTACGCTTTTACGCTTAACTTAGGTGTGTCAGTAAAGACCTTGACGGTCTGGGTACATATAAATATGGGGGGATTACATATGCTCTTATCATGGCGTCAGTAAAGACCTTGATGGTCTGGGTATATATAAATATGGGGGGATTACATATGCTCTTATCATGGCGTCAGTAAAGACCTTGATGGTCTGGGTATATATAAATATGGGGGGATTACATGTGCTTTTACCATGACGTCAGTAAAGACCTTGATGGTCTGGGTATATATAAATATGGGGGGATTACATGTGCTTTTACCATGGCGTCAGTAAAGACCTTGATGGTCTGGGTACATATAAATATGGGGGGATTACATATGCTCTTATCATGGCGTCAGTAAAGACCTTGATGGTCTGGGTATATATAAATATGGGGGGATTACATGTGCTTTTACCATGACGTCAGTAAAGACCTTGATGGTCTGGGTATATATAAATATGGGGGGATTACATATGCTCTTATCATGGCGTCAGTAAAGACCTTGATGGTCTGGGTATATATAAATATGGGGGGATTACATGTGCTCTTACCATGGCGTCAGTAAAGACCTTGAAGGTCTGGGTATATATATAAATATTGGGGGGATTACATGTGCTTTTACCATGGCGTCAGTAAAGACCTTGATGGTCTGGGTTCATATAAATATGGGGGGATTACATGTGCTCTTACCATGGCGTCAGTAAAGACGTGCTGTCTTGCCACACCAACGTGCGGGTTTATTTAATATTTACACAATAGGGGAGATAAAAACCCCTATTTAATTCTCAATGTATTAATGCCTTATGAATAAAATTGCCGATGAATCCATTGGGTCAAGTTCATATATCGGAACTTTGTTGTTCCGATCATTTATATTTGTAATTTATGATAACTGAGGAAAAGTAATTGACTGATAACTGAGCTGATAACACGTGGCTGTGATATATTGATATTTATTGATATATAGCAACAAATATTGATATTTGTTGCTAGTAGAGTTGCACTTTAAAGTATGGAGTTGCAACAAGCGGTATTGTTGACCCTCATCAATACTGCTTCAGCGTTAGTACATGCTCACAACGCATTCAGAGTTGGATGAGGTGCAGCAGGTGGTGGCTGGATGATGTGGAGCAGGTGGTGGCTGGATGATGTGCAGCAGGTGGTGGCTGGATGAGGTGGAGCAGGTGGTGGCTGGATGAGGTGGAGCAGGTGGTGACTGGATGAGGTGGAGCAGGTGGTGGTTGGATGAGGTGGAGCAGGTGGTGGCTGGATGAGGTGGAGCAGGTGGTGGCTGGATGATGTGGAGCAGGTGGTGGTTGGATGAGGTGGAGCAGGTGGTGACTGGATGAGATGGAGCAGGTGGTGGCTGGATGAGGTGGAGCAGGTGGTGACTGGATGAGGTGGAGCAGGTGGTGGCTGGATGATGTGCAGCAGGTGGTGGCTGGATGAGGTGCAGCAGGTGGTGGCTGGATGATGTGGAGCAGGTGGTGGCTGGATGATGTGCAGCAGGTGGTGACTGGATGAGGTGGAGCAGGTGGTGGCTGGATGATGTGCAGCAGGTGGTGGCTGGATGAGGTGGAGCAGGTGGTGGCTGGATGAGGTGGAGCAGGCGGTGGCTGGTAACGAGCGGACACTATACACAGGTCCTCTTCTGGCGATAGTTGAGACTAAAGCCGCGGTTGACAGTGTCCGTCGCCTCGTTACCGTCCGTCTTGACGTACAGGACAAAGGGCTGAGACGTGGCTGGGGAGGGAAAGGCAGGACACACTTTGTAATTACCAGTTCGTATGTGTAATAAGGCTGAAAGTAACAATAATGTTTGACAATTGAATGTAATTGGAGATTGTTCATTGCAGTGCAAATGGAATTTTGTTTATTAGAGTAAACAAATCTATTTGTAAACATATATGGAATTAGAGTCACTTTCTAAGTTGACCCTTTGTCTGTGGGAAGAATGTCCTCGCATCACCCTCTGGTGACGAAGAAACTCCCTTGAAAGTGACAAAGTTATATTATATAACAATCTATTTTCCTTATATGATAGTACTTATAACAACTACAATATTTGGTTGAACGTATAACTATGCACCGTGATTACTGCATGGTACATGCCTAACACAGTCGGGTGGGGATCGCCAGAATTCAAGAGAGAACAGCATGTCATTGTCACATACCCCCACTTCGATTTTGGCAGTGGCCATGACTCTTGTTTGCCTAAATACTTTGGAAATATTCAAAACAATATTTGTTCTTATATTACTACAAAACATTAATCATTGATCTCGGGTAAATGAACAGAAATTTTATATTCATACTTTGACCGTACTGCGGAAATACTCAAGTTATAAACATGTCAATTTGGAGCCCAGGTCCACCTAGGTCCACCCCTCTAAATCTTTCCTATCCAACGCTACTCTTTCGCAACGCGCCGAGAGAGGAGTAGACACGCAGAGATGGGGAGAGAGAGATATAGAAAGAGAGGGGGAGGAGATATACAGAGATAGAGGGGAGTGGAGGCAGAGATGAGAGAGAGAGAGAGAGAGAATGAGAAGTCAAAGAAAGGGTTTATAATGTTTTTAGAAGTAATTCATAACGTTTAATTGAATGTGTAAGCCATCTGTTGAGGTCTGAGATAACCCTTCATAGACAGGCTGCTCTACGCTGGCCCTCAACAAGTGCAACAGTATACTAAGGTGTTCCTGGGACATGCACTTCAAATTAAATCATAATATGACGGGTTCCGTGACCAAGAGTTAAGCTCTATTATATATAATGTATTTTTATTTTCTTGGACGAAAATATTTTTCCAGAACTTTAAAATTAATGTGTCCCCCGTGGCCTTCCTCCTACCACCGAGACCGGCGGTGGGAAACGGCTCTGGCGAGGTTGCGTATTGGCCATACACGCTTCACTCACGGTCACTTAATGGAGCGCCGCCCTGCTCCTTATTGTCCAAACTGCATTGTCCCTCTTACGGTCGTGCATATCCTTGTTGAATGTCCGGACTTCCAGGACGAGCGTGTGTCTTGTTTTCCGACCGTCCCTCGAGATCACTTGTCCCTTGATAATAATAATAATAATTATTAAATTTGGTGATCTTCTGGTAAATTTGGTAAACTTGTTTTTGAATTTGGTAAACTTCTTTAATTTGGTAAACTTCTTGGTGAATCGGATGTCTTTGATGTTGTTCACCTTGTGCGCTTTTGTTATCATATTGGCAATTACATATATTACATATTCCAGGACTGTTCTTACGGCTGATGTTACATATTAAAGGACTGTTCTTACATGTCGGTGTTAGATATTCCAGGACTGTTCTTAGTGATATGTAGCGCCTTTTGAATATCCCGCACTTTTGACGGTGCTACATAGCCTCCCCGGCTTGGTGCCTTCGTTTGATAATTACTTACTTGTTAGGCCCTATTTAAATTACGCAGATAAGCTTTGACCGCTGTGCTATAGAGTGGACACAGATGCTCAAGAAAGCGTATAGAGCAGGATGGCAAAGTTAATCTCGGGTATTAGGAACATTTGACTAAAAAGATGGTATAAGAAGGCCAAAGGGTGCAGAATGTCTACTTACTGCTGACGGAGGCGGGGAAGCCGAGGCCGCAGAACCTGTCAGCCGTCAGTAAGGTGTTCTGGCTGTTGTCGGAGTAGAATTTGCCTCCGGGAATTATGACGTAGTCCGCAGTGCAGCTGTTGCCATAGACGCTGACGGTCGAACTACCTGTACGAGAGGAGAGTAAGCCTTTTTTTTTTATTTCAACTTAAGAAGAACTTTCATAAAATTCATTAACTAAGTAACATTCAGTAAGAGAATGTTAACTGTAACATTCTCATACATTCTGTATGAGAAACGAAACATAAGAGACAATATCTGTCTGTTTGTCTGAGGTTGGAGGCCAGATGCTTTGGGCTAGACTCACCTAACTTTCACACATGAAGTATTGGGGCTATGCGAGTGTCATAAGCTAGTCAGGGGTGGCTCCGATGCCACACATTTAGAATTACTGGCATCTAAGCCAACCCACCTGAGTGAAATATTGGTTGTGTTGTCCGTAGACTTATTCGTGAGTGATTCGTTGTTCAACGTAGCTGTACTAATGCAGATGTACCTCATGTATTAATAAAAAAATAAAAAAATCTACATTTTTGATAAGAGATGGGGAGGAGAGGGGGCAGAGAGAGAATGATATGCGGAGGGATGGGAAGGAGAGAGAGAGAGGAGGAGGAGAAATATGGAAAGGGGAGAAGAGGAGGGAAAATGGAGATTGGGAAGAAGTATATTGCCAGTGTGGAGCATCCGGACACGCTCTTGTACAGTCTCCAGCACTTTTGTGTTTGTCTCCAACACTTCTTTGACCACTCCAAGCCACGTGCTCGCACACTACAAGTGAATTGCTTTATTTTCCTGTAGTTCGTCTGTGGTTCGAGGGTTCACTTCTCGCCCTGTATCTCTGGAACAGTTCAACTTTTTCTTTATGTGCCTCTCTCAATCCCTTCCATAATCTCTCTTACAGTGCTTATATTTTTAGACCTTTTTAGATTTTAATCATTTTGAAATGTCGAGTTTTTGGTAACATTCTAGGTGTGAATTTCTGGAGCTTTTCATGTTCTTGAATGTCGGTGTTGCATATTCCAGGACTTATTGCATGTTCCATGGATGTTCTTAGTAAGGCCATGAAGATTATTCTGAAGGACCTGTGTACTTACCTAAGTACTGGAGACTCTCGTCAGATGTTCATATTCTTGGTTCAATACTAAAGATTCTCTGGTGTTTGTAGATCAAAGCAACGACCGCTTTCTCTCTCCTACTGGAATATTTGTCTTGTGTTGCTTGTCTCGCCCTCAGAAATCTTTTCAAAGATGGAGAGAGAGAGAGTGGTCCAGGACGGATCAAAACATCGTCGTCTCTTCACCTTCTGGTGTGGGGGTTATCTTCATCTTCTGGTGTGGGGGTTATCTTCACCTTCTGGTGTGGGGGTTATCTTCACCTTCTGGTGTGGGGTTTTCTTCATCTTCTGGTGTGGGGTTTTCTTCATCTTCTGGTGTGGGGTTTTCTTCATCTTCTGGTGTGGGGTTTTCTTCATCTTCTGGTGTGGGGTTTTCTTCATCTTCTGGTGTGGGGTTTTCTTCATCTTCTGGTGTGGGGTTTTCTTCATCTTCTGGTGTGGGGGTTTTCTTCATCTTCTGGTGTGGGGTTTTCTTCACCTTCTGGTGTGGGGTTTTCTTCATCTTCTGGTGTGGGGTTTTCTTCATCTTCTGGTGAAGATTGATGACCATATCATAATGATGACCATTTCATAATCAAGATATGAAGATGATATGATGATCCCCATGAAGATATGATCATCATATCTTTAGCCACGGTATTGTGACTCATCGTCTGTAAATCTCTTCAAAATTCCAGTTTCTGTTTTTTCCAACTGTACAACAAGTTCTACTTTGAGTTCGTACACTTTATTTGACAGTCCATCAGTATTGGGACCATCGGTGTCAGCTCTTCAAAGTGTTCATTATAGTTAAGTGTTCTGAATAGGCAGCTCCCAGTCTAGGGATGGAGTAGCTGATTTGGTTCCTATGAATGGGTAGCTGCCGTTTAGATCTTCACAGATTTCTTTCTCATTTTCATTGTATTCTCCTCCCTTCTTGTATGTTCTATCGTTACTTGGTCATCCACTGGCATTGTCTTTCATACATGGCTATGTATTAAACTCTGCTGTTTCTTTGGTTTCTTTCTCCTTATATTTATGCCTTTGTCTTTAGCTATGCTGCATATATTTCGGGTCGATAATGTCCTCTGTGTTTGGTCCACAACGTCCTGTTTTTCCTCTCAGCTTCTTGGTATTAACTATTAAACTATGTGTTGATATATTCCCTCAAATGGTTTCCTGATATTACTGGTGTGTATCTTTCCTCGACTTCCTTCCATCTATCTCCTTTTGACTTATTAAATTAATTATCATATTCTCATTTTATTTCATTTGTTGTACTCTACTCTCCTTTCCCTAACCCCAATCATTTATTGTCCTTGGGCTTAGTTTAGTTATAGTTAATGGCCAGGACTCATTGGTCGTGGGATTCCATGCTGAAGAGCTCTCGGTTTTCCCTATTATAGTTGACAATGTTCATCAACTATAATGAGTGTTCTGTTACGATTTATTTTGTGTCATCTTTTACGTGATGGGTTAAAATGTTTGTGTTTATAATCTCCACTAATTTTGTATCACATATCCCTTCCCCTTCATTGGGGGATTTATCAACTCTCAATCTTTGGGATTTATGTCTCCCAATCATTAGTAATTTTACTCTCATTCCATGTGCAGTTGTTGTTGTTCTCTGTAGTTCGACTGTGAATGTATGGTGTTTATATTGTGTGTTAGCAGGACCACTATACCTTTACACCTGGTGTTTGAGTCCCAGTGATGTAGTGTGTGTTTCTGTTTGAATTATTACCTGCTACTTTCTCTATTTTTCTCTTTTGTTTTACTAGGAGCCTCACTCCACGACCCTATCTTTGTTGTCCTTTCTTTCCTAAGTACTTGATATCCTTCAGGAAATATTGCATCAGATATGGTATAAAATATTTAGTTTAGTTTCTGTTGCAATCGTATCGGATGTTTGTTTTCACTAACCTTTTAGTCTATGTGATCTGCTTTGTGGCTCAGTCAGCATCAGTATACCAATGTTGGTGTGTGTACACACCTACCTTGTACTCACCTAGTTGTTGTTGCGGGGGTTGAGCTCTGGCTCCTTGGTCCCGCCTCTCAACTGTCAATCAACTAGTAATTGTTACTTGGCCTAACAAGTAAGGGGGAGGTGTTTGTGTGTATGAGAGAGAGAAAGAGAGAGAGAGAGAGAGAGAGAGAGAGAGAGAGAGAGAGAGAGAGAGAGAGAGAGAGAGAGAGAGAGAGAGAGAGAGAGATATAGAGAGAGAGAGAGAAAGAGAGAAAAAGAGAGAGAGAGAGAGAGAGAGAGAGAGAGAGAGAGAGAGAGAGAGAGAGAGAGAGAGAGAGAGAGAGAGTGTGCGTGTGATGTCTGCGTGCCTTACCTATAAGGTCTGGTGCAAGAACATCAGCTTTTTCGGAGATGGTGAAGCCAAAGGTGCCATTATCATTGTTTTGTTCCCAGGTGATGCCGCAGTAGTTGTCGGCGCGTCTGATGCAGATCCCGTAGTCCTGGTTGGCCAGCTGCCTGTCTGTGGAACACCAAACCACCCTTCGTTATTTCAGGCCGTTCTCCTGTTTAGACGGTACTTAGAGTAACCATGTAGACCATTGTACATACTCTGACGTAATGGACAATTAGAAAGTAGAATTTAGTACTACTGAATATGGACAAACAGGATTTTTTATTTATGTTGCTAATAAAACCTAACCTAACCAACCTAGGCCTAATTCACTCTGAGGTCTAATATAGTACATTGATGCGCTTCATTAGGCCTAGCAATATATACATTCGGTTTTTAGCTCAATTTTTTCCGGACTCTATAAAGTGAAAAGTACCAAATTCTACTATCAAATTGTCCATTAAGTCAACATACGTGCGATAGTCCACATGGGTACTATAAGTCCAATCTAAACAGGGGATGGGTTGTGTTATTTAGTGCGTAGTTACATTACCAGGAACACAGCCATCACTACACACGATGATGGGGATTACAGGGTAGTTATTGACTGTTGAAATAAATTGTTCAATAAATTAGGAGGATTTATGCTCATTAGAGAGAGGGATGGCGAGAGATGAAGTGGGATTGAGGATAGACGGGTGAGTGTCTAAGGGAGTGGGGAGAGGCAGGATATTTACTGTGTTTGAGAGAGGAATTAAGAACATAAGAACAAAGGCAACTGCAGAAGGCCTGTTGGCCCATTCGAGGCAGCTCCTATTTATAACCCCCCAATCCCACTCACACACATGCCCAACCCACGCCCGAAACAATCGAGGGACCCCACCTCCACAACGCCACGCCGCAATCAGCTTCACAAATCAACAACCCCGGTGGCGGGGTTGTGTTCCAGATGAAGTTGTTCATAAGCTTGTTGGCTGACTGGCTTCCAGTTCCGGAGGTACTGGAAGTGAGGTGGTGTTCAGAAAGAGAGGAGTTGTATACCCATTTATGTACGATTACATGTCAACTCTGCTGCTTCTCACATATAATTAATTTATTATGCAACCATTTTGAATCGAAAACAACTGTCCTTCGTCTTCTTTAATTCAAACTAAACAGATCCCCAGGACCGAGGTAAGTGTTTGCCAGGGTGCTTACAGAATGTCATGAGGAGCTTTGCGAGTCATTGTCTACCGTATTTAATAAACCATTAGTCAGGCAGAGTGCCAGAATCGTGGAAGGTTGCTAATGTGGTGCCATTTATTAAGAAAGGAGATAGATCACTTGCTTCAAACTATCGTCCAATTAGCTTAACGTCTATTGTGGGAAAGTTACTTGAATCGATAATTGCAAATCCCATTAATAAATGATTCACAATATGGTTTTAACAAATGGCCGTTCATGTTTAACAAATCTGCTATAATTTTATTCCAGCATAGTTGAGGCAGTTGACAGTGGTAAGGATTGTGATGTCGTGTACCTTGACTTTAGCAAAGCTTTTGATAGTGCCACATGAAAGACTTATTAAAAAGATAGAGGCTCATGGTATTGGGGGTGCTATATTAAGCTGGATTAGGACATGGCTATACCAAAGGAAACAGTATAAATGGAGTTATGTCAGACTGGGAAAATGTAAGTGGAGTGCCTCAAAGCTTTGTCCTCGGACCTCAGTTATTTATAATATATATAAATGATTTAGATTCAGGTTTGAGCAGCAATATTTGCAAATTTGCCGATGATACAAAAATCGGGAGGGATATAAAAACGGAAAAAGACTCACTATCACTTCATGGCGATCTAAATAAGGTTTTGAAATGGTCAAAAGATTGGCAGATGCAGTTTAATGCTGACAAATGTAAGGTTCTGAGGCTAGGTAATGATGATAGAGTTACATGATACGAGCTAGATGGTGTTGAGATTGCAAAGTCGGATTGCGATGTAACACGGGTAGGGTTCCTCTCTACTGCTCTTTCCTTCTTTCTACTCCCCCTCTACCCGTATTCTTACTTTTTTATTCTCTACCAGGGACTCCAAAACTTTTACCAAAGCCGACTCCACGCCACGTGGTCCTAAGACGATTGACCGACTTAGGATTCTACAACCAGTATGGCGTGACCTAGGCTTTGAGCAAAACCCTAGAGTCGCCTCTACGCTGCCACCACCAGACCAGTAACACAAGAGCAATGATCGAGGTCTGGATCGATCATGCTAATTAATCAACCTTGGGGCTTGATCCCCACTATAACCGATGACCTTGAGTGTGGAATAAATTACACGGTAATGATGAATTCCGATCCGATGTTAGAATCGGCGCCCAATACAACTCTGCCTCGTGTGGACCACGTGACCAGGACAAGTAAACATAAAAAAATGGAAACAATAAAAATGCAAATTATTAACTAATTAATTTATTAAAAGAAAAACTAAAACAAAATCTAAATATGTTCACTCCCTGTCACTTTAACACTCCCTACTTGACCTGAATGCAATGAGTTGACTATCCCTATCAATAACCATAGCAACTATACCTTGGGCAACCAGCTAGATGTTGGGCTGGTCTTGGGGGAGAGGTAAGATGGGTTGACCTCCCCCAGTTTATCTGGAGTCCACACTGATCTCTTCCTCGTCTGGTCTAGCCCAGACTAGAGCATTGTATTGTTCCGCATAGTCTCAGTTTTTCCAAGTTACTTAGCCCGGTTTAAGTTATAACAATTAACCTCGGTTGTATTTAATTGATCCAGACTGGTTGAATTATTTTACTGAAATTAAATTACACGAACATCTAACGGCAGAGCTGTTCCCGTTCCCCAAAATGGTTAATTGAACTTTGAGAAATAGTAGACATGTCAACCCTGATGACCTATGACCGCCGGTCACTCCGCCTTACAACTTAGATCTGATTCGTGACGTCACTGATGGTGACTTAAACTCAATAATTAGAATACTCTTGATATTGTACCCAGTACTATTATACAATACAATTTTAATACAAAATGAATAAAGGCTAATTTCTCTAAATTACTGAATACTATAGGATGATTCATTATACGCAGCTATGAACAAAGCGTCGGTTATTTTCACCGCGAATTCCCCTGGGGTCAGGTCCCCAGGTCACCACGCGGGCTCAGGTTCCCGTTCTCTTTTGTCGATAAACCACTCTGGATAATTCTTACAACCAGCCTAGTTTGTTACAGCGAAAGGGATCTGGGAGTTATGATTAGTAAGAATGTAAAACCCAAAAATCAATGTATAAATGTTTGTAAAGGGCAAATAGGACACTGGGATTTATTATTAATCGAAGCGTTAGTAACAAGACACCTGGTGGTGTTCTTCAGCTATATCTTGCTCTGGTTAGGCCCCATTTAGATTATGCAGTTCAGTTTTGGTCGCCGTACTATAGAATGGATATAAATTCACTTGAACGTGTCCAGCGCAGAATGACAAAGTTAATTCCCCAAATTAGAAACCTGTCATATGAAGAAAGATTAACAAAGCTTAAATTGCATTCACTGGAAAGGCGAAGAGTTAGGGGTGACATGATAGAGGTTTACAACTGGATGAATGGACATAACAAAGGGGATATTAATAGGGTATTAAAAGTCTCAACACAAGACAGAACATGAAACAATGGGTATAAATTGGATAAGTTTAGATTTTGGAAAGACCTTGGTAAATACTGGTTCGGTAACAGGGTTTTTGATTTATGGAACCAATTACCACGTAACGTGATGGAGGTGGGATCTCTAGATTGTTTCAAGCGCGGGTTGGACATGTATATGAGTGGGATTGGGTGGTTATAAATAAGAGCTGCCTCAAATGGGCCAGTAGGCCCTCTGCAGTTACCTTTGTTCTTATGTTCTAATGTTCCTTGATACCTTGTACATACAAACTAGGATGAGCACCCGGCGGTGCCCGGGTCTGTCTGTCTGTGTCTCTCCCTCCCCCCCACCCTTCTCATCCTCCCCTTTCCTCTTCCTTCCCTTTCTGCACCCATTTCATCCCGGATTTTTTTTATTAACATGTTTACATACATGTGCATTTGTGCAGCTGCCCTAGACTATATGAAGGGGAGTACAGTGTGTCGAAGACTAGCTACGTGATGCTAAATGTCCCACTCACACAGGCTGGTTAGTCATACAGGGATAAGTGATCTGTAGTCTGCACTGGCAAGTTTGGGTGCATTATGAGGATATCCTCAAGAACACGAGTGAATACAGTGATTGCGAAGCTCCAGGTACCTCATACCAGCGGGTCTGAATGGTCTGATAACTGGACATTCAGTGATAACATAAGAACATAAGAACATAAGAACAAAGGCAACTGCAGAAGGCCTATTGGCCCATACGAGGCAGCTCCTATTTATAACCACCCAATCCCACTCATATACATTTCCAACCCGCGCTTGAAACAATCGAGGGACCCCACCTCCAGCACGTTACGTGATGTAGTGTGGGAGATCATGCCGCAGTTCCTGCTGACAGAGTTTGCACCTAGAGTGCTCAGGATTGGGAGATCCGTCACCTGTAGCCACCTGCCACAGGTAACGGTAACCCAGCCTGATCCTGGCAACCCCTGAGTCACACAGTTTGGTCCACGTTTTGTGCTGGCCGTAAACATAGGTTTCGGATCTGAACAAACCATGGCTTTCTATACTGGTGCTTTCAGACCTGAAGGAGTATGCATCATAATTCTATGGAAAACAAAACCGGGATTTGATTTCGGACGCCATGGCACTTGAGCTGACACGGAACAGCCTTTGACACTAATAAAACCTCATGTTTAATGTTGTACAGCTGGGTGAGGCCAGCCCCATGTGACCGGCTTCGTGTCTGGCTTTCTACTGCGGACAGATATACATTCTATTTTATAGATATAGATCTATATATTTTTTTGAGATTCAAACTGTTTGGAGATCATGATATTGTTGAGAATCGAGAAGAAATTGTTAAGACGATGACAATAGAATGCGTGTGGAGAGACAGACCAGAGCGAGGGTGAGCAGGAGAGTACTGCAAGTTATTCCACTGATCAGAAATATGAGTTTATTTTGCACAGTTGTACAGCTGTTCACTCCCAATGACATCGATTTAAGTGGTTACGAACACATCTTCTTTATGATGAGATGAGAAGAGACGCGGTTAAAGGATTTCACAAGATGAAATATCAATAATATAGCGAGGTTTGGAGTGCATGTTGCAGTGCAAGTTGTAAGTACTGGTACTTACTGCTCTGACCAGTGGCGTTGTTGGTGTTGAGGAAGTTGAAGCTGCTGACTGTGCCAGCGGTGGTCGTGTAGTACTGCAGGCAGCCCACGGGCGCTGTAGGGGCAGCAGACACCAGGGGCATGGTTAGTGTATCAGACCAGCTTGTGGGACATGGATACATGACCTGATGAACTATCAACCAGCTTGTGGTGAAGAACACAGCCCTACACGTGATAATCTCAGGACATGAGGCCTTAACTAAGGTGTATGAGACGTGTATATATGAGGAGGCTCACCTTGGTACTCGGAGCCACAGGTGATCTGCGTCACCTTAATGTTCCAGGTTGTTGAGAGCGACGCCTGCACCGAGCGCTCAATGGTCAGCTTCACAGCTCCGCCACTGGGGTCCACGTCGTAGTAAACTGTAATGAAGGTAAGTGGAGCCACGAGGCGCTGTCACTAGTTATCTCTGGAGAAATACTGATCACATACAACAGTCGATATGGGCACTGATTGCTACTAAATGAGAGATCATATTGATTTATCATCTTAAGGTGATTGTGTGTGATGCTGTCTTCAGTGATAGAGCAATGTTCCTTCCCAGAGCTGCGTGAAGGAGGTTGTATGTCAACTGTCTTCCTCCATCTCGTTCCACTTGATCACTACTCAAACACTGCAGGAATACTTCCTTGTGTCACTCCTACTAACACGCGTTTGTAATACACGTCCGTGGCTTTTGTCCTGTTCCCACCATGCGAAACAGTCTAATCTGGTTCACTATTTCATATTACCTAATATTTTGTACGTGATTCACAAGATTTGTTATCTTGACTCTTAGAGATTGTTAAGCCTTACTCCTGAGGCTCGTATAAAGAGGCTAACGTCACCACCCGCCAAACACACACCGAAACTACGACGTTGGTACAACGTTCGAACAAGTTTTAACACCTAACCAGTTATAACAACCAACATAGCAAGTTGTAACAACGTTCTAATACGTCATAAACACGTTAAGCCAAGATGTAACAACTTTATTACAAGTTGTAACAAGCGGAAAATAGAGACAGTTACGGTTTGTGTTTCCAGGGCAGGATATTCTACGCTAGCACACGTCCGAACATCATTCAGGAACCTAAATAAATAGACATTTCGATCACTGTACACCACCTACGTGAGACCAGTTTTAGAGTATGCCGCCCCATCGTGGAGCCCACATCTATAAAAGCAGACAAGGAAACTCTAAAATATTTAAAGATTTGCAACAATGCTCGTCTTAGAATTGCGAGGGATGTGCTATGATGAGAAGTTGAAGGAACTAAACCTGACGAGGCTAGAAAAAAGAGAAGAGAGAGGAGACATGACACAGACGTCTAAAATACATAAGAGGATTAACACTGGAAAAATATAAAAATGTTAAAAATTAATACCAATAGAAAAAGAGAACAAAGATGCAAGATGGACACTCAGATGAGTCAGAGATGTTAGAAATAATTGTTTTAGCTCAAGAGTAGTGGGAGATGAAATGAACTAAATGGAATGAAATGAATTAAATGAATGAAATTAAATGAACTAGAGGAGGACGTTGTGGAAGCAAACCCCATTAACAATTGTAAAATTAATGATAGGAAAATTGACCAGGAGTCATTGCTCTAGAGTTTAGACAACCAGCGGCTAGAAAGGTGGGGCCCAAGAGCTAATGGTAAATCCTGCAGGTACAAATAGGTGAGAACAAATAGGAACAAGAGGACAGAGATTCAAGCTAAGGAAACAAAGGTGCCGAAAACAACATCAGAAAGTTTTCTTTTGTAAACAGAGTGGTAGACGGTTGGAACAAGCTAAGTGAGAAGGTGGTGGAGGCCAAAACCGTCAGTAGTTTTAAAGCGTTATACGACAAAGAGTACTGGGAAGACGGGACACCACTAGCGTAGCTCTCATCCTGTTAGTCACTTAAGTAGTTACACACACACACACACACACACACACACACACACACACACACACTCGCGTGTGTTGGGCCAGGAACGGTGTGTCATCCTTTTGATTTTCGCTCTTTTACCATCTGTCATTGTTTAATATAGTGAGGATTTATTTTTTTTATTTTGTTAAAAATTAAGTTTATTAATTTACAGTTTACATCGAATTACAGCTGGAGTCCGAGGTGTTGTTCAAGACGTGGCTTGGAACTTGATATCTGACCTGGATTACCACTCTGAAATGTTCCTTTTGTGTTTGAACATTGAAATTAAGGACCTTTACCCCCGTCTTATAGTGAGACGTTGACCACTCCTGGAGTCAGGGATTACAGGGGCATGTAATTACCGCCTTGACCACCATATTTACACTAATAATTTTCTTTAATATTTTTACTTATGTTGAGGACTAAATAATGTTTACTGGTTGGTGTTTAATTCATTGTGTTTTTTTTAACTGTATTGAGATTATTAAGCATTATCCCTAACATCAGATCAAACATCTGTTTGCTCAGCAGATAATATATCTGTTGAACATCAACAAAGTATATTGATCACTGTGTGCCACAGATAATGTGAACATCTGCATGTGTTGATCATTGTTTGTTCCAACGATTATTGGGGCATTACTCACTGTGTTGACCATTGATTGTAAAGTAGACCACTGGGACATCTACTCACTGTACTGACCACTGGGACATCTACTCACTGTGCTGACCACTGGGACATCTACTCACTGTGCTGACCACTGCTGGAGCCACAGATCACTGGGACACTGGACACTCCGCCGGTCACCGTCAGGAAGTCTTTAGTGCAGACACCGTTCGTATCCGGCTGCGAGAGTTCGAGAGCGAGGAAATCGAACCTCATCTGGCAGATGTTGGGCGCGACTCTGTTGATGGTGAGGGTACAGGCGCCCAGCTCTGTGTTGGTGGCGCCGGGGTGGATGAAGTACGTGTTGTTCAGGCTCGTCGCCTCGTTACACGTCCTCGTTACTGGCCAAGGGGGGAGGAGGTGGGGAGAAAAGACATTAGTCTTCCCTAGATACGAGAGAGAGAGAGAGATAGATAGAGAAAGAGGGAGAGTTAGAGAGAGAGAGAGACGTGAAAAACCTAGCAAGCAATGCATCAAAGATCCTTATATTTTTAATATGCATCCGGTTTCATACCTTCTCGACAGCAGTGATTACTAAACTTTATATGAAGCACAAGTTCGCTCCCATATTGAATGTGCACCGTGTGAGGCAACTCGTCTCTAGTCTGGACCAGTTGTGGCTGGGTTGGTCAGTACCTCAGAGCCCTCGACCCCAGGAGGCGTGGCTGGCCTTCGTGTTATGTTTATGACCAATGTTCTCAAGGCTTCCCATCTGGTCCAGCTTTATTGACAACTAGAAGGTGGCAGCCATAACTTCAGGGTTTCATTTCTTATGTAACTCGCATTTGAAACACGTTCTGTCAACCTGTGAAGTGAAGTCAAGTTACCATATGAAGGCTCCACCTTCAGTCACTCGCCAACACAGTTGGCTTCAGCTTCATCCTTTACCTAATAGGAGCATAACTTAACATTAAAAAAATTTACTAGTGAAAACTAATAATAAGCAAACAACACAATCTCGGGCGGGACAGAAATGGTTGGGTGCATTTCCTATCACCTAATGCTTCTGTTCACCTAGCAGTAAGTAGCTACTCAGGAGTCAGCTTGTTTTGGGGTTGCATCCTGGGCGGGGTCAGTAATTCGACCTTAAGTGGGTGGTAGGTTCTTTCTACACAAGATTAGAAAGAACCAGCTATGTAAGAACACGCTATGAACAAAACCAGACAGTTTATGTGTGAAACACATCTCACAAGGCTCAGCAAACGTATCTAAATAAGATCATGTCATGTTATTATGTTGGCAAGAACACAATTGTCCAAGAGCAAGCTGGGTAAGAATATGGTCTGAGCGCGCACACAGTTGGGCCACAACACACCATTGGTGAATGTGCTTCTTTATTCACAAAGTATCGTAACCGCAGCTCACTCAGGGACTGGTCAGAGGAGCTACAGATGGGACTTACTGATGCAGCAGGTGGCAAGTCCGCCAGCACACGAGCCCCTGGATGTCCCTGACTTGCTGGCGCACTGTCTGGAGGGCATGCAGGTGCCGGAGATGAGGTCGTCGGTGGTGGAGCACGGGGTGGCCGCGATCTCCGCCAGGATGACGAACACTGCCACAGTAGAGTGGAGAAAGGTTATCTGTTGGTTTACCCTGCCCTCGCCTACACCCACTACGTCTGCACCCATTACGCCTACACTCATTACGTCTACACCCATTACGTCTACACCCATTACGTCTACAAATGCGCCTACATTATACATTTTGTATGAACTAACTTCTACCAGAGTCAACTGGAACACACAACACAGTTCTCTTTGAGAAGGTCTAAATTGCTAGACAACTGGACATTACTTTGTAACATCACTTGTCCAGCAACAAGCCTACTTTCTTTACCAAGATCATTATGTGCATAAGAGAAAGATAGAATTTGTATGCATATCACAGTATTACCATTTTTACTAAATCATAAAAACTTGTGAGAATAATGATTATTAATGTGAAAAATATACAGAATTCTAATGTGTGTTCACACATTCCTTTGTCGCTCTCTCTCTCTCTCTCTCTCTCACTCTCTCTCTCTCTCTCTCTCTCCTCTCTCTCGCTCTCTCTCTCCCTCTCTCTCTCTCCTCTCACTCTCGCTCTCTCTCTCTCTCCTCCTCTCTCTCTATCTCTCTCTCTCCTCTCTCTCTCTCTCTCTATCTTCTCTCTCTCTCTCTCTCTCTCTCTCTCTCTCTCTCCTCCTCTATCGCTCTCTCTCTCTCTCTCTCTCTCTATCTCTCTCTCTCTCTCTCTCTCTCTCTTCTCTCTCTCTCTTCTCTCTCTCTCTCTCTCTCTCTCTCTCCCTCTACTATCTCTCTCTCTCCTCTATCTCTATCTCTCTCTCATCTCTCTCTCTCTCTCCGCTCTCCTCTCTCTCTCCCTTTCTCTCTCTCTCTCCTCTCTCTCTCGCTCTCCTCTCTCTCTCTCTCTCTCTCTCTCTCTCTCTCTCTCTCTCTCTCTCTCTCTCTCTCTCTATCTCTCTCCTCTCTCTCTCTCTCTCTCTCCTCTCTCTCTCTCTCTCTCTCTCTTCTCTCTCTCTCTCTCTCTCTCTCTCTCTCTCTCTCTCTCTCTCTCTCTCTCTCTCTCTCTCTCTCCTCTCTCTCCTCTCTCCTCTCTCTCTATCTCTCTCTCTCTCTCTCTCTCTCTCTCTCTCTCTCTCTCTGAGGATTCATGGGACAGAGTTGTGTATAGTGGTGATGAGGTCAGCTGTGTGGCTGTGTGAACAACCCGTCCTCCTAAAAATAACGTCACTTTTGGCTCGTATGCGCACTATGGCCAAATTTAGACGTAATTTGAAATGAAATCGACTCACAAAAGTGACGTTCTGTTCCGTTTTCTATTTGAGTCGTCCGGTGTACGCGCAGAGGTTATAAGAGGACACTTTAAATTAACGTTTTTCATAACGTTTTGAAACTTTATGAGAATTTCCTGCCCACCTAACCTATCAGAGGACCCTTAACTTACTGTTGTTGAAAAAAAAAAATCCCAAATTTATTTTCCTTTTTTTTCCTTTTCAAATTACATCCAAATTCGGCCATACGGGCAAACGGCCAAAAGCGACGTTCTTTTTAAGAGGACAGGTTGGCGAGTCATATGAAAATGTCTTCGCTGTTCTCTTAAGGGAACAACTCGTTCCCTCACTCGTATTTGAGTAGGTTGACCAGACCACACACTAGAAATTGAAGGGACGACGGCGTTTCGGTCCGTCCTGGACCATTCTCAAGTCGATTGTGACTTGAGAATGTTAGTTAGTCGATTGTGACACAATCGACTTGAGAATGGTCCAGGACGGACCGAAACGCCGTCGTCCCTTCAATTTCTAGTGTGTGGTCTGGTCAACATACTTCAGCCACGTTATTGTGACTCATCGCCTGCATATTTGAGTAGTTTTTTGTAATATTTTGGTGAGATCGGTGTTTAATACTTTATGATGCATTACAAAATCTTTGATTTGTTTATCAGAGGGTCAAACTGGTAGCAAATGCCAGAATTGTCATGAAGTTCGCTATGGGTTCGTACCACATTGTTCTCGGAGCATTGGTTCCAACCCCACTGCCCATGTTTTGTGTCTTCCCAGTTGGAATCACTGTTCAAAGTTAGGCAAGGCTAACCCCACATGTCTGATGTTCAACCTCAGACATATAGACATTCTATTTTAAAGATATTGATACTACTGCCAGTAAATTAAGAGAGAAGATCCTACCAGAGAACATGAGAGACAAGGTTGGGGCTCTCAATCTGAAGTTCATGAAAAGAACCATTCAATGGCACACTATTGCACACCTTTATCCTGAGCACCAGCCCCTCAGCGACAGCCTCATTGGGGTTATCTTGATGATTTCGAGGCTTTAGTGTCCTCGACCAGGCCTCCACCCCCAGGAAGCAGCCCGTGACAGCTGACTAACACCCAGGTACCTATTTTACTGCTAGGTAACAGGGGCATAGGGTGAAAGAAACTCTGCCCATTGTTCCTCGCCGGCGCCTGGGATCGAACCCAGGACCACAGGATCACAAGTCCAACGTGCTGTTCGCTCGGCCGACCGGCTCCCTCACTCATACACGGTGAGGAGCAGACAACCATGAGGAAAGTACGGTGAACTATGAGCTGAGGACAAGAGAGAGAGGCACTAAAAAGCCAGAAATTAACATACCCAAATGAGGAGGAAAGCTGAGAGACAATTCCAAAGCGACACTGCTGCGACAGCTAAGGACCAGCCTAAAGCTGTACTGTTCTGTTGTCATAAACGAATGAAAATAAGAGTAAGAGACCATGTGATGAGACTGAAGAGGCAAGGTGGAATTATCCCGTCAAATGATATAGAGATATATCTATATATAGTGTGAGGAACTGAACAAAAGATTTCAGGAGACATTTACCAAAAACAAAAAACAGCGTAGAGACCATGGTTGAGAGATGGAAGGTCACTGGTAACACAGGATGTCACAGGGTGACTACACAGTGACTATTATGTCACAGAGTGACATAATAGTCACCACTGAGAGATTAAAAAAAACTTGGAGGAATTAGATGCACCAAAATCAATAGGACCAGACTTACCATCACCACAGGGCTGTTCAAGGAGGCCTCAGAGATACTGTGTTACCCGTTAACTAGAATTTTTAATAAAACATTTGAGACTGGAAAAGTCCCAGACTTGTGGGAAAGTGTAAGTGTAGTCCTAATATTCACAAACGAGGACGGACATGAGGCACTAAACTTTTACCTCACAGACTGAGGTAAGAATCTGTCTTACCTCACTTACCTCAGACTTACCCCTTGGGCAAGAAGCGTCTTCTTGCTATTCGAGAGAACTCTGCAGTAATGAGCCGTTCTTTCACTTAACAAAACAAAACACAAATGTGGGTTACATGGCAAGTCTTATAGTTAGAGTATCTGTCCGGGCCTAATACGAGTCTACCTCGTGTGTGTGTTTACAAGACCACTGTAACTCATTTGGTCATGTATCCCACAATGTAAACTGTATCTCGTCACACTTACGCTTTCCATCTCGCTCTTGTTCGCTTTTTGTTTCTTGGCTGCTCTCTCTTGTGTGTTGCTCCTCTGGGCTGCTCTCTCTTGTGTGTTGCTCTTCTGGGCTGCCCTCTCTTGTGTGTTGCTCCTCTGGGCTGCCCTCTCTCGTGTGTTGCTCCTCTGGGCTGCCCTCTCTCGTGTGTTGCTCTTCTGGGCTGCCCTCTCTTGTGTGTTGCTCTTCTGGGCTGCCCTCTCTTGTGTGTTGCTCTTCTGGGCTGCCCTCTCTTGTGTGCTGCTCTTCTGGGCTGCCCTCTCTCGTGTGTTGCTCCTCTGGGCTGCCTCTCTCGTGTGTTGCTCCTCTGGGCTGCCCTCTCTCGTGTGTTGCTCCTCTGGGCTGCCCTCTCTCGTGTGTTGCTCCTCTGGGCTGCCCTCTCTCGTGTGTTGCTCCTCTGGGCTGCCCTCTCTCGTGTGTTGCTCCTCTGGGCTGCCCTCCTCTTTATGCTGGTGGTCAGTGATGGCCGGGCTCGCCAGGGCGCTGGACGCCACCATCACCGCCCACACCAGCACTCTCCTACTCCGCCCCTTCAACTCCATCCACAGAAAGAATAAATTCAATTAGCTAATTAAAAAATGGATGCAAACGCATACACACACACACACACACACACAAGGTAGATAAAGATAAACTATTTAACACGGGTGGTACACGAACAAGGGGACACAGGTGGAAACTGAGTACCCAAATGAGCCACAGGGACGTTAGAAAGAACTTTTTCAGAGTCAGAGTAGTTAACAGGTGGAATGCATTAGGTAGTGATGTGGTGGAGGCTGACTCCATACACAGTTTCAAATGTAAATATGATAGAGCCCAGTAGGCTCAGGAATCTGTACACCAGTTGATTGATGGTTGAGAGGCGGGACCAAAGAACCAGAGCTCAACCCCCGCAATTAGGTGAATACACACACGATATACATAGCATGTGTGTGTGTGTGTGTGTGTGTGTGTGTGTGTGTGTGTGTGTGTGTGTGTGTGTGTGTGTGTGTGTGTACTCACCTGGTTGTGCTTGCGGGGGTTGAGCTTCCTCTCTCTTTGGTTTCGCCTCTCAACTGTCAATCAACTCTGTGTATCAATTTACCCTCCTTTACATGCTATGTATCGAAGTTTCTTTCTATAACTTCTAGTAATTTCTCTCTCCACGTTTCTTCCCCAACATGGTGATTTCTGGATCCCTGTCAATCTCCATGATACAGCTCCCCTATGATTTAAAGTTTAGCTCTCCTTCTATGCTACTGTTACTGCTATGTGCAATTCATCTATGCATGCGTTGTTGTTATCATAATACTACTACTACTATTACATATATATATATATATATATATATATATATATATATATATATATATATATATATATATATATATATATATATATATATATATATATATATATATATGTCGTACCTAGTAGCCAGAACGCACTTCTCGGCCTACTATGCAAGGCCCGATTTGCCTAATAAACCAAGTTTTCATGAATTATTATATTTTCTAAAAAAATTTCTTATGAAATGATAAAGCTACTCATTTCATTATATATGAGGTCAATTTTTTTTTATTGGAGTTAAAATTAACGTAAATATATGACCAAACCTAACCAACCCTACCTAACCTAACCTA